AGTCTGCTGTGATCCTGATTAGTTTTTCTTTATAGGTGATGTTTCTTTTCTCTAACAGCTTTTAATATTCCATTCTTGTGCTGAATTTCTGGGATTTTCATTATTATATGTCTAGGTGTAGATTTACTTTGGTTGTGGCTAGTTGGAGTCCTATATGCCTCACTTATCTGCATGCCAGATCCTTTTCCCATGTTTGGGAAGTTTTCTTCTATTACTTCTGTAAATAGCCTTTTAATTTCATTTGTGTTGACTTCTGCTTCTTGACCAACACCTATCACTCTTAAATTATGCTTCTTTGCATCATCTTGTAGCCATTGTGTTATTTCCTGACTCCAACTTGTTTTTAAGAGATTTTTCTTTTCATGATCACTAGCTGCAATCCTATCTTCAAGGCTGGGGATTTAGCTCAGTGGCATAAACGCCAGCCTTGTAAGTGCGTGGTCATGAGTTCGATCCCTGGTACTGATAAAAAAAAAAAGTCTATCTTCAGTCTCTTTTAAGTGGCTTTGCCAGCTTTCCACTGAATATTTACTTTCCTGGATCTGTTTGAATCTGTTTCTTGCATTGTAATTCCTTTCTATATTCATTCAAGGTTTCTATCATTTTCCTATACTACTCTGTCTTGTCTATGTCTTCTTTAGACCTGCTGAACAATTCTTTCAGTATGTTTGTGATTTTTTCTTTTATCTGAGACATTATTTCTGTTTTGACTGCTTTTACAATCTCATGAAGTTGTTTCCTTACTTCAGCTGCTATCCTTTCAGAGATTTCAGGTGTGTGACTTCTTTTCTTCCATGACCATATCCCCCAGACTTATTCTGTGTGGGCTGGAGGTCTGAGCTTGCCTGTTGCTCCTTCATCTTGACATTCTCCTGGTTTCCTCCCAACAAGCTCGTTGTGGGGCCCCAGGTACTTCAAACATTGGCTGCCTCTTCATGTGTAGGAGGATGGAACAGGCACCTGGGTTCCTCTAACCCCAGATTTACAGGGAGGTAGCAGGGTGTGGAACAGACTTATCTAGACCTGTGGAGCTTACACTGGGGCTTCCCTGATGATCAGGGGTGCATGGAGGTAGGGCTGCTTCTCTCAGCCTGTGTGTCTACACTGGGACTTTCACAATGGTGACAGACACACAGGGGTGTATTTGTCTGATTCCGCTATCAGGTGATGGCTGCTCGAAGGAACCAAGGTCCTCCAATGGTGGCCTACAGGTGCACAGGGCTTACCTGGCTTTGTGTCCCTTCTCCTGCTGGCCACCTGCATGAAGGAGCCTTCCAGTGGCAGCTACCTGCAGGTGGAGGTGGATCTGTCTGGCTCTCTCTGCCCATACTGTGCACCTGTAGGAAAGGGCCTTCCGTGGCGGTGTCCCACAGGCAGAGGTGGATCTGTCCGGCTGTCTCTGCCCCCACTGGGCGCCCACAGGAAAGGGCCTTCTGGTGGTGGTGTCCAGCAGGCAGATGCGGATCTGGTGGCTCTGGGCAAAGTATTCTTAGTTGGAAGTTTTTTCTGTTTTGTTTTCTTTCAACATCCTTGAATATACCATTCTATTCCTTGCTGGCTTGCAAATTTTCTGCTGCAACACCTGCCATTAGTCTAAGGGAGATTTCCTCATTTTTCTCTTGCTACTTTCACAATTCTTCCTCTTTGACTTTGTTACCTTAATTATAATGTGCTTGGAGACGACTCTTCCAGTTGAACCTAACTGGAGTTGAACTTCATAGATCTGCCTGCCCATACCTCTCCCAAGACTTGGGAAGTTTTTAGCTTTATTTTGTTAAATATGCTGAGCCTCCCAGAATGCTCCACCACTACTGGCAAGGTTGCTTGTTTTTTCAGTGGTAGCTTTTTGCTGAATTTATCTTTCACGATATGACTTGCTTATATTTTCTTCTGTCTCACTGAGCTTCCCTCAGATCACTAACTTTTCCTTATCAGACATTTTATAAATTTCCTATTTATAGAGAATTACTGCATACTCTTGAAGGTTTTGTATCTCCTTGTTTTCTTATGTCTTGTATCTTTGTGTTTTATGTCCACATCTTCTTTTTTATCTTTTTTTTTTTTTTTGAGGAAAGGTTCAGTTAGCTCAGTTTGTAGAGATTTCAGTTATAATCAACTGGCCCCAAGGCACGGTGGCTCATGGCAGTGGAAGACATCAAAAGCAACAAGAGCAAAAAGGTTACATGCATGCATCTTAAGCAACAGGCATCTTTTCCAATTTTATGGGATTCTGAAACTTTTTAGGGAGAGCTCTTCCCTGTGAGGGGTGCCAGGCTGTTAGCGGAGCATGGTTATGCTAGCTTTGCTTCTGGGAGGATTCTGTAGTGGTCTCTGTACAGTTCTCAGTTACAGTCCTTGGCAGCCACATCTGTGGTTGTGCTGGTGGCCTAGGCTATCGGTGTTTGTGACCATGGGGACGAGGCGTGGTTTTTCCAGGGCTGGGGTTGCTGCCAGATGGCTGTCAGGGTGGGTGTGCGTACTTACAGGTGCTGCAGGCTGGTGCTATGAGACAGCTCTTTGCTGACTGGGGCTGCCATCTGGCCGGTTCCCGGCCATGTGTAGGTGCCTGTGGGTTTGTGGGGACCACAGGCTTTGTGCTGGGTTCTCCTCTGTGCTCATCTGCCTGTTCCCTTGGAACAGGGACCACATGGGTTTGCCTTGGGCTCTGGTTCTGAGCAGCTTGGGTTGCATTACTGCAGCCACTATGAGCTTGGTGGAAGGATGGTGGGGTTTCAGGGACAGAGACATGCTATGACTACCAGCCATCAAACAGAACACACTCTTGCAGCAGCTATGGTTTCCAGACGGTGCCAAGGCCTAGCAGCTTAGGTCACGAGCCTCGAGAGTACATGGCGGTGGCGCGCACAGCACACAAACTGTGGCAGCTCTGTATACTTTACTCGGGGCCCATGACATCGCAGGCTGCTGCACAGCCACTTGCCATGGCGGTGGGATTGTGTGGGTCTGTCCTGCCCCCAAACCCATCTGGGCAAATGAGATGAGTAAGGCAGGGCACCACTCTGTCCTCCTTTATCAAACTCTGTACGGACCCTGTCACTCTGCTGCCACTCAGTGCACTTCCTGTCCCCTCATATAGGGCTGGGATTGTGGCTCTGGTCTGTGAACTGCACACATGCCACCCACCCCAGTGGGAGAGACGGGAGGGCCCACTTTTCTCCCCTGAGGCAGGGTCTGGGGTGCGATGGGCTTGGGCTTTTCCTCTCCCCAGGTCAGCTGGGATCAGGTAAATCCTGGCAGATGCTGGTGAAGTAGTCTCTCCTGTGTGCCTCTTGCTACGAACAGACTGCTCTGGCCTATCCCAAAGAGGTTCCTTTCCCCAGGTAACCGGAGGTAATTTCCAAGGTCTGAGCCCTGTGTGCAGGTCCCGCTGGGGCACTGAGTCTCCAGCACCTCATCAGGCACAGGCCTGGCTTCCTCAGGCAGGGGCAGCGCTGCTTCCCCTGGGTCCCCTCCTGGGTTTCCATCCTGATTCTCCAGGGTCCATTCTCACCACACTGAGGCGTGGTCACACTGCACTCTCACCTCCTTCCTTTGGATCAAAGAAGAGCTGCTGGGCTTTTCAACCAATCAGCTTTTCATTTGTTTTTAGTGTAGAGTAGCAGCACTCTGGCTTCTTATTTATTTGCCAGACTAGACACTGGAGGTCCAGTGTTTTCTCTCCAATCCACCATGCCCGTCATAATTCCACCCCATAACTGGTATCAGAATTTTAGAAAAACCCTTAATTTAAATTAATTAGCATTTGTAGGTGGTAAAGGCATCGATGTAAAACTGGTGTTAGACTTTTTATCACTTTTAAACGCTTGATTTGTTTCAATTAACATTCATGAATTTCATATAAAAATAACACGAGCCAGGCATGGCGACCCACTCCTGTGACCACAGCACTCAGAGGCAGGAGGGTTGCAACTTTAAGCTTTGAAAACTTATCAACTTGGCAAAATACTAATGTTATTACTGCTCATAATACGAAAAAGCCCTGGGTTCAATTCCTGTCCTGTGCCCCCACTTCCACTCCCTGACACTGTTCTCTTTACTTTTAGTGCAACAATAACACTATTTGATAGATACTTGCTTCTTGTCTGGAAATTAAAAACCAACAGATATTTATGACACGGCAGACAGTATTCATATTTCACAGTTTTCTGTGTTTTGTTTTGCTTTGTTAACTAAAGACAATAGGATAAACTTTCCTTGGGCCAGGACATCACTCTGGGAACAGACACATCCATTCTGTCGAGTGAAGTGGGGACTCAGTGATACCTTTGGATGGTTGTGTGTACCCAAAATAAGTCACAGGGAAGATTTCACGATACAGCTCAAAAAAAAAGGCCAGGCAATCAAGCATAAGGCTTTAATTCATACCCTCTTACATATTCTGTCCTCAAATTAAGTTGGTACCAGTTTGTAAAACTTCCTCTTTGAATATCCATGGATTCTGTCTCTCACATTGGTAGAGATGCAGAAAGGAATTCACAAAGCAAAAGAACAGAGGGCAACCTGGGCGTGAAGACATCCTGAGCATTGTCAGAGGGTACCAGCGGAGTCTACTGCAGAGCCCTGAGCTCGAGGGTAGGGAGAAAATCCCACACCTTTGGGGTTACGTTGGTGAGCTGCACTGTGAATTTACACTAGGAAAGACAGAGTTTTTCCTTCTGGATTATTTTCAGAGGTTAAGCAGCTAGTCTACAATCACACAGCTAGAGAGTACCAGAATCAGAATTTGTAGCAGGGCCTGCCCACTTCAGGTCTTTGTTACTCTGTTACAACAGTTTTGTTTCCTATACAGTCACTGTTTTGATTGTGAAAACTCCAAAATGAATCACGATGTTTATAGCTTTAGAAAGAAAGAAAGGATCTGCTGCTTTTCACTTTATTTTTAAACTGTAAGTTCTGCCAAGTCATGAGGAAGCAAAATACATAAAAATTAAATTTATAGGACAACACAAGGCATATACAGGATAAATACCCTAACTCACCGGTTAAAATGGTGCCCACAAACATCCAGAAGCAGAGGAAAATGTTCCCTATCCTAGGACCATAATCTGTTATGAGCTTCCCTTGAGCCAAAGTGAACAAAATCCCAAAAACCTGAAATAAGAGAAATGAATTTTTATTAATTTTCCTTCTTTAAAAGACGTCTACATTTTCTCCCAGAACCTTTGAAAACTAATTTTCTTCAAGTGATTTGGCTTCTAATAATATTCACTGAAAAGTGAGATTTTTTTTTTTTTGGTACCAGGGATTGAACTCAGGACCCCCCCACTTGCAAGGCTTATGCCACTGAGCTAAATTCCCAGCCCAAAAGATTGTTAAACCGGGTATGGTGGTACATGCCTATCATCCCAGCACTCTGGAGGCTGAGGCAGGAAGATCTCCTTGAGCTCAAAGCCAGCCTGGGCTACAAAGTAAGCTCAGGATCAGCCTGAACTGCATAGTGAAACCTTGCCTCAAAAGGACAAAAAAAGTGAGCTTGTTAAGACAAAATCTATGGTCAAACTCATTCATTAGACCATTTGGTAAAAGCCATCAAGACTTAAGAGAAGCCAGAGGTTTACCTGGGCAGCAGCATTCAGAAGACCAGATGAAGTGCCCTCGGACTCAGGGTAAGTGATTTCCACAGCAAATTCAAACCCCAGCGGGAGGTAGCCAGTCATGAAGAAGCTAGGAACACCAAGCGAGAATCACAGAAAGAACTGTCGGCAGGGGAAATTACAGTGATGAACCACTCTGTATTTCAGGCCTCTTCCAATGATTAAGTAAACAGTACTTTGAGTGGGAAAGTGAGGAACTACTATTAGAACCACCAGCCCGAAGTCACAAGAACAGAGCAGCAAAACAATTCCCTGTTTCCTGAGGGAAAATCACCTCTACTTTTTAAAGTCAGTTGTCTTTATAACCAATAAAGTTATGTGGGCTCAGTAAGGTTTATACATTTTTCATCCACAGTGTACCAAAAAACGATTTTAAACTTTCTTTCCTTTTCTTTTTCCCTCCTTTCTTCCTTTTGCTTTTCTTTCTTACTGGGGATTATATCCAGTGCCTTTGCACTGAGCTGCATCCCCAGCTCACCTTAAAAAATATTTTTTAAAAGAAAATGTTGAGACAGGGCTGCCTAAACCACTGTTTCCTAGGCAGAGCTTGAATTTGCAATATTTCTGCCTCAAGCTCCCAGAAGGCTGGGCCTATCATTGTGCACAAGCACACTTGGCTAAACTATTGTTGACAGTTTTGATGAATCATATGTTTATATGCACACAATGGATCTTTTAGAGTTAAACTACTAAAGAACCTATGGATGAGCTTAAAAAATTAGTACATCAAAGTAATAACACTTCAGAATTATAACAGTATGGTATCATTTCTCCTAACATATCTGACACTTACCCAAGAATCCCTCCAGTAACAAACACGATGATAATGTAGTCAAGGTCCAATGTGAAAGTAAAAATAATCATTCCAATAAAAGATAAAATGTAAACTATCAGAGTAGTCTGTCTAAAAGAAAACAACACAACTGTTAGGAATTTTTCTGATTCTCCTAGGCATATAAAAATCTTGTAGCTTGCCACTGTTCTATCCATACTATTTTTAAAATTCATCCCTTCTTGTCTACAGAAAATATATTCACCAAAACAGACTTAAAAGCCACAGTGTGGTCTTTAAATTATGGGAGAACTATCCTGGAGAATTTCAAGATCAGAGCTATTTCTGGAAGCGTTTAGGATACGGCAGTATAAACACAGCCGGACCTTCAAAGGGGTACATGGCAGAGTTCCACATTTCACTCACTGAGCTTATTTCCCTCTATTCTCTTATTCACGAACAGTTCTGTTCACTAATTTTCCCAAGCAGATGAGAAGTTCTGGCCTTCTAAGAGATGTGGCCTGGAAGAGAAAGTGGCTATTCTTTGAAGGCCAGATCAGGAGAATGCAGCCACTGAAACCCTCTTCTGGTCTCCTGGTTGGCATCAATTCCTCCTTCTTTTATGTTAACATTTTGCTGTGTACAGGCACAAATAAAATAACATTTTCACACTATACATTATATTGTAATTAAATGATACTATGGTTTAGGGCTCTATATACTGTTCAAAAGTTTTTACAAAAACAGAAGTCTTTGTTTTTTGTCTTTTTGAGACAGAGTCTCACTATGCAATTCTGGCCAGCCTTGAGCTCACTTTGTAGCCTAGGCTGGTCTCGAACTTGCAACAATCCTCCTGCCTCAGCCTCCCAAGTGCTGGGATTACAGACATGCGCTACCATACCCAGCTAAATAATTTTGTTGTAAGAACAATATTTTGTTTGTTTTTAAGCCCACAGAAAAAGAAAGCAACAAGATCAGGTCAGTCAAAAGTCACAGGATTCTCAGAGCGAGCTTTTTCAAAAATATAGATGTGGGTATTGTTAGAGAGAGAGAGAAGGATCAGAAGGTATCCAAGTTCTCAAAGCTGAAATAACTATGGCCAATAAAATAAAACAAAACGGTATGTAGATTTCTGAAACACTCACTAACTGGAAGGAACCTGCGAGTACTTGTAACACTTTAAGTCCTACAGTCCAGGCCTTCCGCTGCCCTGTCACTCACTTGTATGTTTTGGTGTAGTCTAGCCACAGGCCACACAGAATGGAGCCCAGCATCCCAGCCAGCACTAGCGTGAGCCCAATCCTCCCGGCGTTCACTTCCTGATCCTGCAAAGCACGAGCAAGAGAGGCTGATCAGAAGCAGACCCTGCACACCCCCTCCCTGCATGCGGCGGGGACGATAGGATCAAATGAGGCACACTGTGTGGCTGAGCTGGGAGGCAGGGGCAGGTCAAAATCAAATAAAACCAGAAGAAACAAAACAAAATGAGAAATAAAAAAGGAAAAATTTCTTTGGTCTTCCATGGTTAAAAGTACAATTTTTGTTAGCCTTCAGGAATTTACAGATGTCTGAAAAGGGTTTTCTTTTCTGCGCAGAAAGGAATCGGAACTTGGCACCTGCTTCTTTATATTTATTCTGCTCCCTGTGAAGTGGTTTACTTTTTTCCATATAATTAAAAATTTACTTCAAAACCAAACAAAATAGCACTGTCACAGTGGTAATAACTCTGCTTCTGGCTGCATGGCACAGCACCTGCCTGTGACCCAGGGCTGCAGGAAGAGGACTGTAAGTTCAAGTCCCACCCGAGCAACTTGGCAAGTTCCCATCTCAAAAAATAAAAGGACTGGGGAGGTAGCTCAGTACAAAGGCCCTGGAGTCAATCCCCAGTACCACCAACAGAAAAAAATTCTGCTTTCGAGGTTTCATGAATTGAACTAAACGTGTTTAATAAAAATCATGGTGCTCCCAGCTTGGGATTTAGCCCCACCAAGAGACCAGACCAATGCAGAATGGATCACCTGTGTTGGATGACAGAGTCGCGGTGAACTTGAGAATGGGCCAGGAAAGCCAGTGCTTGGCCTCATCAGGAAGCAGTGGTGTGATGGCTGCCCACACTGGGCCCTCCTCTCTGCGGCTCCTGCCTATCTCTGCCTACAGAGCCCCTCCTTACCTCAGCACGCAGAGCCTTCCATGTCAGGAGGGACACTGCCTGACCACACCAGCCTTTCAATATGATGAGATTTTGTTTCACAAACGCGTTCTCATTTAAAAGATATGTAAATTTGTTACATTGCTAAGATTATAACCCTAAATCTTATGATTATGCTAACAGGATTTACATGGAGTAAAGAAAAATCACAGGGTGTGCAGTATTATAAAAGCAGAAGTATACTATAATCCCAGCACTTGGGAGGCTGAGGCAGGAGGATCACTGTGAGTTCAAGATCAGCCTGGGCTACAAAGTGAATTCAAGCCCAGCTCAAACTGCGATGTGAAACTCTCTCTCAAAAAAAGTGGGGGTGGGGATTTGGCTCAGCAGTATAAGCACCTGCCTGGCAAACTCAAGGTCGTGAATTCAATCCCCAGTACAAAAAAAAAGCAGACACTTACCTTATAATATGTCAGGATCATTTGGTTTAATAATGTTGAGACTGAATAAAATGCTCCAGTCATGATACCTACGATTAATAAAGAAGAAATTATATATGTATCACTTATCAGTTCATCAAGTGATCTGGAGTGCTATGTGACAGTTTGAAAATATGATGCATTTTTTAGGCAGCTGCCAAAATTAGTAAGGACTGCCATTCCCTTTCAGGATGTGTGCTGATCAATTTAACCCGAAGTTTTCGAGGCATCAGTGCTAAGGTTGGGTGTGGCCCCCCAAGGATTATGTGCTGGAGGCCTTCCCCAGTGTGGTGGGGGCTGGGAGGTGACCCCTTAAGAGGCAGGACCTACAGCCAGGTTATTAGGTTGAGGTAGGGGGGCCTTCTCAGAAGAAATAGACAATGGCCTCGCAGGAGCTCTTACACAGCCAAGGAGCCCTTCCATGTTGGCCCTTCAGCTTGTGGCCATTTCCCGATTGCTTCTCTCCCATGCTTGGACTTTCAACCTCTAAAACTGAAGAAGTTAAACGGACCATTTTTCTTTATGAAGTTCCCAACCTCAGATATTTTGTTGTAATAGTAGAAACTGCTCTAATATGCTACAATATTAGAGTTCTGTCGTAAGATCGCTATTACTTAGATTCAGATATACTGAACATAAATCATATCCCCACATTCACCACTACATGGGGAGCTCGCAAGCGATGGATTACTGAGCATCCACAGTACACACAGACAGCAAAGGTTAAATGTTGGAGACCACTACGAAGCGGCTCTGAGCAGGATTTCAATTTTACTAATTGGCTTTCTATGTTTATCTGTGAGTCTGTCCTAGGCCTTGGCCCCTTGCCTGGCGATGGGAGCTGATTCACAGTAAGTGAACCTCTATGAATCACTGGTCCTGGCCGAGGCCTGTAGTGGCCTGTGAGGCCAGAGATACTTCAAAGGCCAAGATAAGGCCACAGCTGTGGATACTTGGCTTCAACCCCAATTAAGAAGACAGAGACTGCAGCTGCAGAAATCACTCCTACAGTCTCACTTTTGCCATGTCTTCATGATAAGACAGTGCTACTAAATTGACTTGATTCATTACATGGAGACGTCCTTGAAGTGACTGCCAAGGTCCTGCTCATTGCCTATGCTTTCCTCAGTTTCCCTGCCTTTTGTCCTTGGTCCTCATAAAAGTGGGCTGATCCAGAGAAGTCTTTGTCTTAGCCCTCGGAGTCTCGAGCTCAATTAAAGGGTTTTGACCCTCTTGGAGCCCTAAAACCATACGATTTGTCTCTTTTTATTTAAACCTCCGCCGTACACTCATTTGGGAGATGGGATCTAGGCCAGAACCCGAGAGCTAAAGTGTAACAGAATCCCTGTTCCACGGCAATTGCCTTTGTATCAGATTTACAGGGCGATTCATTGCACAAGGCAATATTAAAGGAGTAATATTTTAAAAGAGAAAAATAAAAACAGCAGGAGTCAGCTGAGCAGGTTTACACCCTAATGTATCCTGGCATGCACTGTATGAATTCTGGTAAGCTTCTTAACCTAACTGAGATTTAACCTATTTTTATATGTTTAATCTCAATCTCTCTCCCTCTCTCATATTGCAGACACACAAACACTACAGAGTAATGTAAGAAACAACCGTCCTCATCACCCAGCTTTGTCAAACATTAATATTCTATCTTCAGATTCACTTTTAGACCTTTTCCGATCCCATTTTTCTCTTCTTTCCCAGTAGTAACCCTTATCTTGATCTTGGTGTATATAATTTTATATTATTGTATATGCATTAAAATAATTCGAAACTTTATGTAAACAGGGTATTATTTAAATCCATTTTTAACTTGCTCTTACGATGTAACTATTATGGCTTTGTGCTGTATGTTGAAACTTTTTGTTCTAGTTCATTAGTTTTCCCTGTTTGTTCCACTGCATGAGCATCTTTAGCTTTAGCTCTTTCTAATTCTTTCAACAGACATCTAAGTCCTTTTCCCAGTTTTCTATTATTTGAAACAAGGTTGCAGTGAGTATTATGTTTTTGTTCTTACATACAAGGGTTCCTCCAAGACTGTACCTAGAACTACTTTTTATGTAATTAAATCACTTTTCAATAACTGTATTCATACATACTACTAGCAGAGTTTCCATAACTTCATCTTCTAGTCAAATTTGTCTTGATCAGGGTTTTCGTATTCTTTTGTTCTTGTTTTCTGGCGGCCTGAATCTGCAGATACTCTGTCTTACTCTGGCTGTGACGTCCTTTATTCTAGCACGGTTGAGCACAAAGCCTAAACAACACACACATACACATCTGGACACTCTCTGCTTTTCTCAGAATGACTTCTTTTTTAACTGATCTGCAAGAGTTATCTTTATGTTAGGATACTCACCAATCCTGTCAGTTACATACATTGCACTTTCTCATCGACTGCTGTTCTGTCTTTCATTTTTAATGGTGTCTTCTTAGAAAAGGCTAGTTGATATAATTATGTTTATCAGTATTTTTCTTTAGGATTTATGTTAATTGCATTAAGACATTCTTAAGAATATAAGGACAGTCTGCATTATTTATTCCTAAAATATTAAAGCTCTGAGTTTTACTCTTAGATAGCTAATCCTACTTACTTTCTCCATATGGCCAATTCTCCCATGAAAATTCACTAAGTAAGTTCTCTCCTGCCAAATATCAAGTTTTTGAGTATTTACAGGGTCCGATCATTGGATCAGTCTGTAAACATGTTAATTTTTCCTTTTCCAGTCATAGCTGTGTGACTTTAAATGTAAACAAGGTCAGTCTGTCTATTTTCTGCCTCAGTAACTGAGCAATTGTGTAGAGATGTCAGACTCTTGAGCAGAACCAGGTTGCCAACTGATACTGAATACGAAGGATGGCAAGAAATACAGTGGTGATACATCACTGGACTGTTTCTGACAGGATTTCACTGCTGCAGCATAACGAGGCCATTACAAGCTATGCACAGGTGACCCCGTGCTCCCCACTCTGGCCCAGGGATCTACCCCTTGCTGATTTTGGGCATCTCAATTATCCCAGATTTGTAAATCCTGACACCTGAAGAGGACTCTCTCATCTGGTTCTTCATCCAAACTTTCTTCACTGTTTTTGGTCCTTACTTCTCTCACAGGAATTTCAGAATAGTCACGATCTATCACAATTCCTGCCTAAGATTGCAGGAGAAAATCTGCAGCTGGTCTAAATAGGTGCTGGCCTTTGCTAGCTACTCCGCTTCCATGGAGCTCATGGATGCACCTGGACAGATGGGCTCACAGGGAAGGCTGAGGGTGCACGAGGTGCAGGACCAGGGCTGAGCACACCCTCCTGCATCACATGCTGCGGGATCTGGAATGTAACCCGGACACCAGGAGTTTGGACAAAGGTCTCTTGTAGTAAGGCAGCCTTTGTGGTCTAAATTTCAAGGATAGTATCTGCATTTCAGATAGCAAATGGCAATAGCTGGGGAGAAATATTTTTCTCTCGTCTGACCTTGCCAGGTATGTTGGCACACACCTATAATCCCAGCACTCAGGCTGAGGTAGGAGGACAGCTGTGAGTTCCAGGCCAGCCTGGACTATGTAGTGGGCTCAAGACCAACCTGAGAAGCAGCAAGTGGTGGGCGACCCAGGGAGAGAACCAGGAGCCAGCTTCTCCTGAGATCTGTTCCATGTTGGACTTAGGGTGCTGGGCAACAAAGCAACCCGTTCACTTTCTTGATAGGCAGCCATGAGCCTACTGGCACACGGGCTAAGAATCAAACATTGCCTCCTTGTGCTCCACCCCATTAGCAAATGGGAGCCAGAGGTCTGAGCATCTCTGGGGAGGATTACTGTTATGCAATATAGCAAATATGGGGGATTTCTTTCTACCATCTCTTTGAAGGCAAATATTGTTATCACTGTTTTGTTTTGTTTTAATTGTATTGCTCTATTCAGTACTCTGTTTTGATAGATTTTATGATGTTCTGTATTTGGTTTGATTTTGCTATACCTGATTGAAAGGACAACTGGTGTGAAGATAATGAGATGTACTACGGTCCCTATTACTACTATCTCAGTAACCTGCTGTGAAGTTCTATACCAATTTCATTGCATTGTCTCGACTGGCTTTATTCTGTTCTGTTGTATTTTACTACCTTCAACATTAAAAAAAAAAAAAAAAAAAAGACCAACCTGAACTATATAGTGAGACTCTGTCTCAAAATCAAAAATAAGCTGGGGATATAGCTCAGTTTCACAGCACCTGCCTGGCAAGTGCAAGGTCCTGAGTTCAATTCCCAGTACAAAAAAAATCAATCAATCAATCAATCAATCAATCAATCAAAACTAAATAGATAGCCTGATCTCAAAAATAAGCAGACAAACTTGTCCTTGTTTGATTCTCAAGTTGTAGACTCTATGTAAATAATTCTGAAAAGCTATCCTAGGGGTGCTATTCCTAATCCAGATTACTGCATGTGCAGCCTTGCACAGACGGGGACAAGCGTTTGCCCAAAAGACGTGGCATTGCCTTCTTTGAAACATTATGCTACCAAGTTCTGCGCCCTTCGGTGAAGAGTAAGAGGCAAAGAAACTGCCCATCCAGCTGTAATGGAACTACAGCTGAGCTCTCTGTATAAAGACGCAGAGGATAAAACATCACAGCAGGAAATTACAGAGCCTGGAATGAAGGTGTCTGCAGTGGAGGTGTGTCTCTGAGCATGACTGTGATGGGGACTGGCGCCGAGCGTGGCTGAGAGTTCTGTGTTGGAAAACAGTGAAGAGTAAAAGACCAATACACAAAAGTCATCTTCAATGACAGCTGTAAGAAATAAACTTGGTGAGTTGGCCATGGTGACTCAAGCCTGTACTCCCAGCACTTGCGATGCTGAGGCAGGAGGATCACCATGAGTTGGACACCAGCCTGGGCTACATAAGCAAGTTCAAGGCCAGTCTGCACTACACAGCAGGACCCCATCTCCAAGAAAGAAAGAAAATTAATTTGGTGTCACAGATAATAGCGAGCCACGGTATTTTCTCTGCTTCCTATTTTTGAATTTTAGGTTTAACCAAGACAGAAAGATTACCAACAGAATTAAGAAAGTATTCACAGATGAGATGACATAACATCTGAGATTCACTTTAAAATATTCCAGGACAAAAATAGGGGAAAGAGACAAAGCAAGAATAACAAAAAGCCGGTGATCCTTGGAGCTGGGTGACTGAGGGCACAGCTGATGAGTGCAGAGGACTCACTGAGATTAAAGGTGCTAATCCAAGGAAAAGAACTTGGAGTTCAAGTTAGGACACGACTTGTCACAATTTTAAAATGGTAGGTCCTGGGGTGCACACCTGAAAACAGTGGGACAGCAGCAAGTGACTCCTGAAGGCAAGCAGTCACGTCTAGTTTTGTTGAAGCAGCAAAATAGCAGCTGCACGTGGTGGAAGAAGGGAACTGTGACATTTCTGACATTTACAGCAGCCATAAATTCAGTCATAAATGGGCAAAAGGACGCTACGAGAACTCACAAAAGACAGCATTTCTCCGTTTGAAATCTCTTTCCTTGTATTTTAAAACACCTAAAAAGATCTAAGCATTTTTGCTTTTAGTGCAAAATGTAAGTTCATGATTCTGCTATGGAGTTCACAGAACAATCTCATTAAGATTCAAAACCACCATGTTAAAAGAATTTACAGTGCTCGAAGACTGGAAGTGACTTCCAAGACTTCAATGCAAGCCCACTTACCATATGAGATCAGCAGAAGGACAAAAGGTACGTTTTTAAACAGGTTTCTTATTGATTTCTTATAGGAGTATTCTTCAGGAGGACTATTTTGAAGAGCTGCTTGAGCCTGACTTGGTGGGTACGGAGGTTTCTCTTTGAATGCTAAGTATGTGCATAAAAATAAAAAGAATTACATATAATTATACATGAGTAATTGAGTACATTGCAGCATACATAACTATAGGTATATTTCTTAGTGAGCAGACAATTCAATTTAAGTTTAAAGAGTATAAAAGGCTGTCATGGTGAGGTTTTCATTTTCACTAATTTCCAAGTGAAAACTAGTTTGGCATTATCATCTCAGCCCACTAAAAGAGAGATATGGCTGAGCTGCAAAACCATCAGTAATGTGTCACTAGCTTAACCACTGCTTATTCCACTTTTACTTAATTAATTTTTACTACATCAAGGATTCTATTACTAAATTCTGTTAATTTATAGTTAGAAGTAGACATTAGAGTAAGCCAACAGAATGTTGAACTTTTAGAGGTCTACCTTGAATTGGTAACTATTTGCTTCTAAAATCTGTATAAAGTTCATCATCTAATCCATTTTGCCACTGGGGTAGAAAATGTTTAGGTGAATTCCTGCGGGATTCCCTAGGTTTCCTGCGGGATTCCCTATGTTTAGGTGAATTCCTGCGGGATGCAGCTCCCTAGAGCTGCATGTGGGGGAAAATATGGGGTAAAACTAAGAGACACTAAAGTGTGCGATGCCTGATGCTGTAAATGCCATCACTCTGTGGTTAGAGATTTCATAGCATTCTCAGCCAGACACCAGAGACCTCCCCTGCTTAAAAAAAAAAATCCTACTTATTAATACTCCACCTCCAGCCCCAGAGACCCCTCCTTTAGGTGTGCAAGGAAGAATGTGACAACCTCCCACAATCAGGGCGAGAGGGAGACTTCGTGAGAATCGATGGTATGCTGTGGAAAATTGCCCCACGGGTCCAAGTATTAAAAGGCTGGGTCCCCAGGGTGGCTAAAGGCTCCCCAGAATGGGAAACTTTCCGAGTGGGACGGTATGGGACCTTTGGTTATGGGATGTGCCCTTAGAGAGAGCAGCAGGACCCCAGCCCCTTTCTCATGGTCTCTTTTGCTTCCAGACTCATGAGCTGAGCAGCTCTCTGCACCACAAGCTCCCTGCCATCACCACTCAGCACACCTATGAGAAGCCCAAAGCAATGGGTCTGGCTGACCATGGAGGAGAGCCCCCAAAATTGTGAATCAAACTACACATTTCTCTTCATAAACTAATTCTCTTAGGTGTTTTGTTATAGTGGCAGAAAGCTGACTAACATAGTTAGCTGATCCAAATTATGAATAAGTAACAGAAAAGCTGAAGAGCTGAAGTGATAGAAGAGAAGGTATATCAGGAATTAAAATCTGGTTTTTGTAACAGCCCAAATTCTAAACTGTTCACTCCAAATTTTTTACTACAAAGGAGGAAAATACTGTACATGGAGTGTAAGATACCTGCACTCACTGATCTTGTAGCAGCAGGCTTCCACATAACCAGGTCTTATTACCACAAATGTTAAATGACACTAAGAAGCATTTTGTTTTCAGAGATTGCATGAGCAAGTATATTCTTTTGGATTAACAAAATAGGACAAATTCAAAAAGAAAAAACAAGATAAGCATCCAAGGGGAAAAAACTAATCTTTTTGGGGAAGACTTAGAACTTCTGTTTTTCATTCTGATTTTTTTCTTTTTGAAAACTGTATATTCCTGCTTTCCCTCTTTTGTTCATGACAATTTCTTTCTTCCAGCAAGTGAGGCCCATCGTATAGTCTGACAGAGGGCTAGGGTTCATGAACCTAACTGTTAAATGGAAGCATTTGGAAATTTAAATGTAATTCAGATTCTGAGATTGTACACCAGGTTCAATAATCAGAACCTCTAGTATGTAACTTGAAAAGTGATAAAGGATGATCGAAAACTACAGCGAATGTTGGAAAACCTTTTATTATGGTAAAGGATGTTGCCAATCACCCCCTCAAACATTCTCCCTTGTTTTAACACACCTATCCCATCATTCTCCTCACTTTCTCCAGCAGTTCTGGAAGCCTTCCTCTACGTCTTCAGTTGCGCTGCCCTGGCTGCCTCAATGTCCTGAATTTATTCCAAACGTTAATCCTTCATGGTCATGTTGATTTTGAGAAAGAGCCAAAAGTCACTCAGTGCCAGATTCGGGGATAAGTGGTGAGGCCACATGGTCATGTTCTTAACGGGCTTGCCTCTCTCTTGCCAAGCAGGCGCTTATACCACTGAGCTAAACCCCCGGCTCCTTGCCTTTCTCTTGAATGGCAACAGCAACATTCACCCAATTTTTTCAGCAGCAACACTGACCCTACTTTTGATCACAGCTTGCAAAGACACTTAAGAAGACTTCAAGAAATGCTTTAGAAAGTGGCAAAAATGTTGCAGTAAGTGTGTTCAAAGTGAAGGAGAGTATACTGAGGGGATTAATGCCAATGCATCTTTATTGTAATAATTATTTGTAAACATCCATCATCTATGTTGATCACACCTTGTATATGAAACACAAAATTGTTCACATGCTATCAATATAGTAATGTAACCTTATTACTTCCACAAAATAACGTGATTCTCTAATTCTATCTGGTAATAAAAAAGAAAATTCTGTGCTGACCCAAGCCATTAATTATGATATCACTAAATCTTACCAAATTAAAATAGACTTCTGTTTTTACAGATCTCTCAACTAATTCAAGAGGAGCTATAATTCCTAAGTATAGACTACTTAGTATCCTTACACTGAAGCACCGGAACATGTGAAACCTTCAAGCTCTTCCAAGTCTTCCCTTTCTTGTCCTTTTACCCTGCCTGCTCCTTGTACTGCTAGGAAGTGTGGTGCCTTCTCCCAAAAGTCTCTTTGTATCCTATTTAGGGACTTCTCTTTCTATCACCACTGGTAACACAGAACTCCCACAGTTGTACACAAAGTGTCAGACTGTGAAAACTGCTCACAAGACAGTCATGGGTGTTTCCTGACCGTCCAGCCCCTTTCCTAGGTTTTTATTTTCTATGGTAAAGTAAGTCTAAATGGCTCAAATCTGACTCAGAATTTCCTGCAAATATGAAAAAAATTCTTACCAGTCTTTACTAGATTTAGTTTCTGAATACAAGTATTACTCTTCAGTTTCTGAACCTAAGTATTATCTCTCAGTTTCAGATGACCTCTTGGCAAAATCAAGTCTCTATCTAGCAGCTACATACTGTGGTAAAGTCATATTTAAAAATAGTCTGTGTGAAGAAAAAGATGAACAAAAAGTCACTGATCTGTGACCTTGCTGCTGGTAAATAACAATGATGAAAATGATTTTTCTGCTCTCCTCAAAACTGAAAATGATAGCCTTCTACTCTTCTCCCCTAAAACATTTGTGCCACAAAAATAAGTACCTATGGAAGTGGTCACCTTCCATCCCGGACACACAGTAGACAAGCGACTCTTGCACACCATGTTTGAACTTCTCCTACATGACTGTGTAGCATGCCACTTCTGTGTACTTTCTGAAATCACGTTGTAACTTTACCTTTGGATTTCACTTTGGGTCCTTGTGTGGTTCAAACATTTATACATATGCTACCTTGTTTTAGGACAAATGTAGGTTTGAGCCCTATTCCACTGTGTGACTTTGGGGAGTCAATTCCTGTACCTTGGCTTTTAGCTTTCTCATCTATAGACTGCAAATCATAACACATTGTTATGAGGATTACGTGCCATGAAATATTTGAAAGGCTTTTGGAATTATATAACAGATGATGCACAAAATACATTCCCTTTCTCAAGAAATACTATTTTTAAAAATTAGAAACTTTGCCACACTCAGGAGCTTAAAATTTTACTGAGTAAGTAAAATATATTTCTGTTAAAAGTTTATAGTTGGGGGCTGGGGATTTAGCTCAGTGGCATAAGCACCTGCCTTGCAAGCAGGAAGTCGTGAGTTCAATCCCTGGTATCCATAGAAACAAAAAAGACCAAAAAAAAAAAAACAGTTTACAGTGTGTGCACAGTCGCACCTTTTGAACAGAAGACTGAACATTAAATTGTGCATGCATGTTCTCTACATCTGGGCTTAAGTACAGCAGTAGTAAGCATTCTGCTGGCACCACCTTTGGTTTCTGCCAGTCACGTACTGTACTGAATCAGGAAAGGACTTTAATGGACACTCCTGAGGGAAATGTTAAGTTCACTGCGCTGCTGCACAAGACAGATTTTACATACAACAGTACCACCACTCGCAGAAGAGGAATGTGAACTGGAACAGAAAGCCAAGGCCAAGGAAAAGTTCAAACGATCTATTTTTTTGTATATGGGGATACAGTGCCCAAGTGTAAATCTGATCTTGAGTGTTTATTAACAGTGATTCTGAGCAGATTAAATGTGTCTGACTGCGTTTCCTCATCTGTAAAATATAAACAGTAACCAAACCTTCCTCAAATGCATGTGTGGTCTGAGTGAGACACGCACATCTGTGCCTCCAACCACACTTGGTGCCCAGCTGTGAGAGGCACGACAGAGCTCGCCCACAGGAACTGGCATGCAGCGGAAAGCCCGGGTTAATTCCTGCAACTGCTGGACAGCGCCCATTCACAGACATTCCCCAAGGGAGAGGAAAAGATGCCGCAGTTTGAACCATCCAGACAGGATTTCACAGAGACTGCTGGATATCAATTCAGTACATGTCATGTAGGGGGAAACGATGGCTAAATTAAACCATTTTATAAACATCTGATTGGCTTTCCAAAGTAATTAGGGATAGACTTTAGAGGGATATGGATCATCTCTTAGTAATTAAGCAGTTTTAAATAAGTAAGGATCTTAAAAATAATAAAAATTTTCCTCAACAGGAAGTATGATGGAAACAAGTAGATACTCCATTTAAATGTCACAATTTTCAATGTAAGATGTTCATATCACAACTGTGTATTTCCTTGTTTTTATACTATGTCCGCTAGTATATACTAAAATTAGAGATTATAAGACAAACTCCACAATAAACCCCTTTTCATTCTCTTTCCAAGTTTCTTTCCATCTCTATTTCCACTTTGTACTCCTAAGCTATATGTAAACAACCAATTAAGTATAAAAATAGCTCACTTTTAATTTCTCAAGTAATAGAACAATATGCTATAGTCCAGACCTATTATTAGCATTCTTTTTTTTGTCTTTTTCCTTTTTATCGGTACCGGGGATCGAACTCACGACTGCCTGCTTGCAAGGCAGGTGCTTATGCCGCTGAGCTATATCTCCAGCCCCATTATTAGCATTCTTTAGCCTGTTCTTTCAGCAAATAAATATCTTATATTAGTACTACTGTAAACAACATGTACTTATATATGGTATATATTTAATTTCATACTTTTTCATAACTTACATATAGCTCATTACTCTTTCTAAGAGACAATCAAAGGCAAGAAGATTTTACACTTTAAAAATCCTTCAAACCAGCATTACACAGTGACCCAAGCCTATAACCCCAGCTGCTCAAGAAGCTGAGGCAGTAAGCTGTTAAGTTTGAAGCCAGCCTGGGCAACACAGCAAGGGCTTGTCTATAAAAAAATCCTCATGGGCAGTCCATTTATGCAACTTTATAAACAATAATTCCTCTTTCATGAAGCAAGTCAAATATAGCTACCAGAAAAAGAGATTCAAGAGGGCTTCCCGCACACAGTACAGACTTCTTTTCAAACTATTAAACTGCTAAAATGGGACAGGGATAATTAGTCCTTTTTTCAGCAGTTTGTACAGTGCAAATATACTACTCCCTGACTTAGCATAAACAGCAATAATAAGCAGACTGACCAAGTCAGAATACTTCACCTGCTACCACAGAAGTATTCTGTCCATCATCTTAAGGGAAATTACACCTGGGTCCTGCAGCTCACCTACCATCATAGTCTCTACTGAAGTATTCTACAGCAGTGATGGCGAACCCATCAGAGCTTTCAACGATACCAACGGCTACTGCAGTGTGCGTGCCACAGATTCGCCACCACTGCTCTAGAACCCAGCACACATTTCTCTCCAAACTGCAGATTTCGCATTTGAGAATCACAAAATACAAATTTTTCAGTACTACGATAGCCATGGTAAAAGTTGATGTACATACTTAAGATTTCCAACTATAAAGCACTTTAATTATAAATTTTAATGAAAAGATGGTTTTTCAGTTTTATACTTCATTTCCTCTTCAACCTCATTTAGGATACTGAGTGCCTGAAGGACATCATTATAGTTAACTTAGCAGCTCTATTACTTAAATCCACCTTACCTATCATTTATCCCTGAAATCGAAACTGCTTCCCATTAAAAACAAACTGAAAAGAGCAGACCTTCCCAAAGCTTCTTCCAAACTGGTGATGACTGCTTGCAGCTGATTCTGACTGACTGCTTCAAGACAGGCCCAGGCGAGAGGACTCAGGGACCGGTGGCAGCAGCCGAGCCTTGCTGGAGTGGCCTACCAAGCAGACAGTTGCCACAGTTTGAAATTCTGCCGGACAGCTTGCTGCTACCTAGGGTCATTGCTGGTCAACATTTTCAGGCCCAGTTAATTCTAAAATGGGGACCCTCAGGAGGACTTATTACTAAAAGGAAGATGGGCGCCTAGCTGAGTCATTTCAAAGCATGACAAGAACTTGTTTCTGGCTAGGTGGGCTTAAGATCCAGCCCGTGTAGACGAACATGGGAAGAGGAGGCAGGAAGTATGTTTGAAATCAACATTTATCAGGAAAGAAAGTTAGTAGGGAGATAAATGAAATGGATTAGTCTTTACAATATTCAAATCATGTAGTGGACCAGAACTTACCCCAAGGGGTGTACAATTCATTACCTAAGCAGCAGTACCCAGCAAGAATGAAACAAGCAAATGCTATTTCAAATGTTATCCGTAAAAAATTCCAGGATTAGTTCTCTTATCGGATTGTCATGCATCTACCCAAACATTGGGGAAATTAATTCACTTACCAATTGCTGTTAAAATAAATAAAAATGAAGAAACACCTGAGGTCCCATAAAACATGGTGCTGATACTACGAGTCAGGCGATCTGTGTCATTCTGTGTGTTGGGCACTAAAACGGGTGGCAGCAAAAAGCCAACTGCAGTTCCAAGCTGCAAAATAAACAGTCCTGTTATCATTAGAGAAACAAAGTAAACCCTGGTACTTCCCAGAACATGAGGACAAACAAGTGTTTACAAACTATGTTTAAGCCGGGCGTGGTGGCTTACACCTGTAATCCCAGCACTCGGGAGGCTGAGGCAGGAGAATTCTTGCGAGTTCGAGACCAGCCTGGGCTACAAAGTGAGCTCAAGGCCAGCCTGAACTGCACAGCGAGACCCTGTCTCAAAAAGACAAACAAACAGGGGCTGGGGATTTAGCTCAGCGGCATAAGCACCTGCCTTGTAAGCAGGCAGTCGTGAGTTCAATCCCTGGTACCGATAAAAAGGAAAAAGATTAAAAAAAAAAAAAAGACAAACAAACAAAACCAAACTATGTTCAAATGTCTTTGCTCCTTAGTACATTCTTAAAAGGAGACTGCAGACAAACCCCTTTCCTAGTTAACAAATACTGAGTTCACACTGTCTGAATGCTTCTAGGAGTGCTGTGGTAGATGTAGTCTTGGCCCTTTAGATGCTTACAGTTAAAAAGAGAAAAAAGAGTGCATGAAAGGGCTGCAAAAAGAATGGGAAAAATACTTGCAAGTCATGTATCAGATAAGGGGCTAACACCCAGAATCAAGAATTCTTACAGCTCAACACCAAAAAGACAAAAAAGTCTAATTTAAAAATGGCTGAAGAACTTGAAAAGACATTTTTCCACAGAATACAAAAATAGCCACCAAGCACTGCTGCCTGAATAACATCAGTCACTAGAGAAATGCCCATCAAAATGACAGTGAGATTCCCCCACCCACAGGGAGGGTTACAATAATGGCAACCAGAGAAAACCCCAACTGGAGGGAAGAACAGAAAAGCTGGAACCCTTGAGCACTGGTGACAGGACTGTAAAACGGGCGGCACCTCTGTGGACGACAGTTTGGCAAACCCACACAAAGTTTTACCACAAGACCTAGCAATTCCACAAGTAGGAATATCCCTAAAAACCCGAAAACAGGTATTCAAATAAATACACATGAATGTTCACAGCAGCCCTCTTCACAATACCCAAATGTGACAGTGTGGCAAATGTTTATTAGAAGACAAATGAATAAAGGAAATGTAGTATAGTTACACATAGGAACAGACCGAAGTACTGACACAGTGGAGCAACGTCAACTTTAAAAACACCAAGTAAAAGAAGCCAGACAGAAAAGGTCGTACACTGTACAGTTCCATTTATGTTTGTTTTGGTACCAGAGATCGAACTCACGTCCCTGTGCTTGCCAGGGTGGCACATTGTTGCTGAGCTACATCCCCAGCTCCTTACAGTTCCACTTATTAAAAATATTCAGAGGTAATATGGGTAAATCCACATAGAGAAAGCAGACTAGAGGCTACCAAAGGAAGGATGAAGGAGAGAAGAGCAAATGACTGCACAAATTTAGGGACAGATAAAAAGATTTCAGAATTACAAGAAGATGACAGTGGCACAGGGATATCTGTGCACCCATGTTTATAGGTGCACAGTCTGTAACAACTAGATCTGGGAAACAACTCAAATGCCCATCAACTGAGGAATGGATAAAAAAGACGTGGTATTTTTATACAATGCAGTACTACTCAGCCATATAGAATGATACACTTAAAATCGAACAACCCAGGTTAAAACCATTGCAATTAATGAGTTGATCTTACTATATTTTACTATATGCGATCGTATAAACAAAATTTTTTATAGGCAAAGAGATAATATAGAAACTGTTGTTCGTTTTCTATTAGCTGGTTCTAAATACTCTGTAATTCTTTCATTCTCTTGAATGGCTTCACACTGTCTTGATATGCTTGATGCTATAGCATACGAAGTTATACTCAAATAATTCAAGGAAAAAGGCACTATGGTAACTACTATTGTTAGATTATCTGGTGGTAAAACACAATGATGCTCAAATTGTTCGGTTCTGACCTGCCTTGTTCTGTTACAATGTCCTCTTTTATCCCAATCTCCCCCCCTTTTTAAATTAATCTATTTTTTCTCATTTTTTTTAATTAAGGGAAAATTAAATTTAAAAATAGCGGGATATATTATAGTAACTTTTTTGTTTTCCTATTAACCTGATTTGAACCCCAGTATTGCTCTCCCCATCTTGTTCTGTCTGATTATACTATATTCTATTTTGTTTGATAGTATCAAGTTTGAGGGTATAGGCAACCACTTTGAAGGCAATAAGATATACTATGATGCCCATTATGGTTTGACTATTATCTTTTTTTGAAGTCCTGTAAGGTCTCCAGTGTAGGTTTTATTGGTCTTGTTCTGTACTGTTTTGATCAATTCTATTATACCTGATGATATAGGCAACTCAATTTAAAAATAGCAAGAGGCACAATGGTAACCACTTTTGATCACCTGGTATTCTATTTTTGCATTATGTACTATGCCCATCCTTCTATTCTGACTCTGTTTTGCTTAGTCATGTCTGGTTTTATTCTCTTCAAAAAAAGTAATAAGAACTGTGGGAGTAATAAAACCCAAAAAGTATAATTGTTATTGTAAAAAAGAGAGGAAAGGAAGGTGGACTAAGGAATATAATCGCAGGTATGTTTGAGTGTGTAGGATGGAAAACCATATTACTGAGCTTTTGTTGGATCATTGAACAGAACTGTCTCCAATATCACTGTATAAATGTCCACTTTATATGCTTTAACTTTATAATTTGGACAACTGTTTCTAAGACAATATGTAACCTATTAACTAGTGATTTCTTACTGTATATATTTTTTCTTGATATTTTGTATTACTTGCACCCTTTTACTGCTTTGTTTTTTTATGTCCTTTCTTTTTTCTCTTTAAATTAAAAAAAAATTAAAATTTTTTTATGTCCTTTCTTTTTTCTCTTTAAATTAAAAAAAAGAATGATACACTTGAAGTCTTTATAGGTAAATGGATGCAACTAGAAACCATACTCATAAATAAATCAGACTCGCAGCCAGGTGTGGTGGCTCATGCCTGTAATCCCAGCACTCAAAGGATCTTTGGGAGTTTGAGACCAGCCTGGGCTACAAAGTGAGTTCAAGTTCAGCCTGAATTGCATAAAGACCCTGTCTCAAAAAGATCAAAAAAATTTTTAAAAAAATAAAAATAAAAAAATAAGTCAGACTCGCATGTTTACACACCATGTTGTCTCACTAGTGTACTAGTGTAAGAAACAGAGAGTAAATAAGATCCAAAAGTTACAATAGATATAGTAAAAGGGAAAGAAACTACTCAAAGGGAAATTATATTGATCAATCTTGTGTGCCTGTATCTGGTAACCTGAGCAGCTATTTTGAAGATAACAATATGCAATATAACAACCACTGTTAAATTCCTATCATTATGATTTGAAATCCTGCATCACTGTTGATTTTGTTGTTGTTGTCATCGTTCTGCTATTTTTCTTTGTTTGCCTCTTGATTTTTGTTTTTTCTCTTTAAAATAAAAAAAAAATTAAGACAGTTGCCAACACTGAAAACGTACTAAATGATGATGAAATGAACACTTTAAAATTGTTAATTTTATGTTATGTGAAACTTATCTTAACTAAGAAAATAAGGCTATGATAATCACAACACGAGAAGTAAAATCAAAATAGTAAGACAGTTCAGTGATGGGAAGTATGATTTTGTTGGACCTGGAAAGACTCCAAGGAGGCTGGGGTAGAAATGAAACCATTTACCAAATATCCTTTTGCTCCTTTACAGAAAAAGCTGGACAGAGACAAACAGGCAATTACAAGAGAACCCTGTGATAGGGAAGTAGAGAGTTCTAGCTGGGGAAATCACGTAATTGATCATCCAATCCAGAACGCTAAGTAAAAGGGACTCCCAGACAACAGACACTTATAATCCCAGCACTCTGGGATGCTGAGACAGGAGGATGACAAATTCAAGCCCAGGTCAGGCAATTTAGCAACTCAGGGAGACCCTGTCTCAAAATAAAAAATACAGAAAAGGGCTGCAATTGCAGCTCAGTGTGAAGGCCCTGGGTTTAATCCCCAATAGAGAAGAGAAAGAAAAAAATAAAAAGAATAGGAAAGAGTTTCTCTCGAAAGCAGAGCAGACTGGAGTTCACTAAGTGAAGCAGAGTTCCAAGCCAAGAGGGCGTTATGCACAAAGGCTGCCAGGGACAGACCGGGTCATGTGAGAAGCTGCTGATTCGCACGGTTTGGGTCAGAACAGAGACCTTGCATGTGGAGCTGAGGGGCTAGCTGCTGAGGCATGGCAGCAGGCAGATACGGAGGCTCCTCGAGGCATGTTAGAGAGCCTGGATTCTACCCTAAGGATAATGGCAGCCACTGCGGGAGGCAAGGAGTGCCCGCACTGTAAAGACCCCACTGGAGGACTGCGCAGAAAAGAGGCAGGGAGAGGCAGGTGGGGAGATCAGCTGAGCTGCAGATGGCCAAGCTAAGACTGCAACCAGACAGGTACACAGGTAACAGCCAGGAGACACTTGGGTGGGTGCTGATGAGACCCCAGGCAGAAATGCTCGGCCAGCTGGCTCTACACAGGTCTGAAGGGCACTCACTCACCGACTGTTATCTTTACAGAGGTTTGCGAGTGCCAGGCCCTGTAACAAGTGCTGCTGACACAGTATGTGCACTTAGTCCACTGCCTATTGCCTTGAAACTCACAATCTACAAGCGGGGAAGAGATGAGCACTGAACAACATTGGGCATAAACATGTATACAGTAACAGGAGACAATGATAACTGCCACTCGGAGAATTAGAATGTAGGACGTAGTAAAAGTGGACTGGACAACACTAAAAGGAATCAGGAAATGCCACTGGATGTTTAAAAGGAATTCAGAAGTGACACTAAGAATGTAGGCATGAGGTTCTGTGGAGAACATTCCAGAGGGCTGCTCAAGCAAGGCCAAGCTTAGTAGGCCTTTCAGTAAGGTTTGTAATTCAGAGTAAAGAGTTTACACTTTAAGAGTTGGGCGCGGTGTTTCATGCCTGTCATTCCAGCACTCAGGAGGCTGAGGCAGGAGGACTGTTGTGAGTTCAAGATTAGCATGGGCTACAAAGTGAGCTCAAGGCCAGCCTGGACTGCAGAGTGAGAGCCTGTCTCAAAGAGACAAAAAAAGTTTACGAAAAGTTTACGGACACCAGTGGCAAGCTCAATGCAGGGCAATGACATGGTCTGATTTGTTTTGAAAGGGTCACAGACCTGTGTAGAGCCAGCTGGCCGAGCATTTCTGCCTGGGGTCTCATCAGCACCCACCCAAGTGTCTCCTGGCTGTTTCCTGCATAGAGACTGACAGTATAGATATGAAGTTAAAACCTAGGCATCAGAAACCGAATAGATTTGAGTGTGAATGTCCACACTAACTAAGCTGCATGACATTTGGAAAATACTTCAACCCCTTCCAGCTTCAGTTGTCCTATCTATCCAATGGGAAGACTAAGAGTTCAGATTAGCATATTAAAGTAAATGACCACACACACAAGTACTCCGCATATCCCCAGGTCCTTAGCGAGCTCTCATAAGACTGTGTACTATTCTGAATGATCCCTATACACTAGGCTCAAAATGCTTCCTTGGGGCCAGGGATTTAGTTCAGTGGCATAGAAGCACCTACCTGGCAAGTGCGAGGTGGCGAGTTCAATCCCTGGTACCAAAAAAACAAAACAAACTGCATACCTGGAACTAGGTAGAATGGTACATGCCTGTGATCCCAGCCCCTGGGAGGCTAACACAGGAGCTCAAGGTCAGCCCCGGGAACTTAGTGAGACCTTTCTCAAAATAAAAAGATCTGGATATGTAGCTAGTGTAAAAGCCATAGGTTCAACCCTCAGCACAGGACAAAAAATAGGGTGCATAGCTTTTGCTATGCACTTCTGGCTGACCTTGAACTCATTTTGTAGACCAGGCTGGTCTCGAACTCATGGCGATTCTCCTACTTCAGTTTTTCAAGTGCTGGGATTATAAATGTGCACCACTGCCCAGCTTGGTGAATACATTTTTAACTGGTATCCCTTATAGTTTAATAAATGAACACTCAGTATTAACTTACATAAAGTGTCATAAGATCCCATATCTAAATTACAATAAGGGAATCAATCTTCAAGAAACACACACACACACACACACACACACAATATTTTACCTAGTAATGCTTCTGAAACACTAATGGCATTTGAGTCTTGGTGTTGGGAAAGACCAGGTTATTTCTTAGCAGACTTGCCAAATTTAGCTGCCCTTGTACAACATACTCTATGACCACTAATTGTTGTGTAATCCTACTAACAAAAATCAGTAACTGGACCTAGTAATGCTGTTAAGTCTTTATCACTGGAACATTAATTTAATGCTCCTTCACATATGTCCACTATGTGCAGCTTTGTGCTGACTGCTAATATATAAAATTAAACAAGGATTGTTCACAGTGACCACTCAAGATGGAAACAAATTTCCCAGAATCCCATATATCTTAGTTTTGCAAAGCACACATTTCGGACAATGATAATTCTTGTGCAAGCCTGGCTCACTGTTATACTGCCAGGTTTTCTCTAACGATGTTCGTATGCACAGATCAATAGTTAATTATTTTATAGGTAATTTTCAAAGCAAGATGACAACATGGTCACTTTAAGCTAGTTTTAAAAGTTCTGTCCTTATTAAAAAAAAAAAGTCAAAAGCCATCTTTAAGATTGCCTCTCTTGGCTGGGGATTTGGCTGGGGATTTAGCTCAGTGGCATAATCGCCTGCCTTGCAAGCAGGCAGTCGTGAGTTCGATAAAAACGAAAAAGACAAAAAAAAAAAAAAAAAAAAAGATTGTCTCTCAGCATACATGGTGATGCATGCCTATAACCTCAGCACTCTGAAAGCCTGAGGCAGGAGGATGGCAGGAGTTCCAGGCCAGCCTGGGCTAGGTAATAAATTCAAGGTCAGCCTGGACTGACCCTGTCTCAAAAAGGAAAACAAACAAACAAACAAAACCTCTCTTATCTTACAATTACTCATCGCTTCATATAGAAGTCTCCTGGCACCCATTCATACACCTAACTCACAAGCCTAAATCGCCTTCCGGTCTTGTAAAGCGTGCTTCTCCCCATCCTGCCTCCAGACCTCACCTGATTGCCCAGCACGGCGGTGGCACAGGCTGTCGACACCTCTTTGGGCCCAAACCACACCGAGGCGATGCGGGAAGGCAAGCCCAGGATGAAGACCTGTGCCACGGAGCACAGGCACTGGCCCAGCATGGTGACCCAGAAGAGGTGCCGCTGCACGCTGCCACACTTGACCCAGGCGCCCAGGCAGTTGAGGCCAGAGCCCAGCAGGGCGGTGAGGCGCAGGCCCCGCGTGTCCAGCAGCCAGGTGGCCGGGAAGATGAGCGGCACATAGGCCAGCATGTACACCATGGACAGCCAGTCGATGTGGAGCAGCGACACCCCGTAGAAGCCCTCGAACACGTTGCTGATGATGCTGTACTGGATCCACTGGAAGGCGTTCACCAGCGAGTAGAGGCAGAAGATGAGCAGCACCACGAAGCGCCGCGCAGACAGCGCCGTCCGGGCCGGCTCTGCGCCCTCGCCGCCCGGGGTTCCCGCGCCGGCGTCCTTGGGCAGCAGCCGCGCCTGCGTCTCCGTCTCCTCTTCCGGGGCCCGCGGTGTCTGCGCCCCCGAGGCGGCGTCCACGCCCTGCTGGGAGACCCCATTCAGCGCCAGGCAGCGGGCCTTGGGCCCGTTCTGCTCGCCATGTCCCTCCGGGTCGGGGGCTCCTGGGGGCACCAGCAGGTAGCCCTTTGCAACTGGGTGCCCGGGCGCCACCGCGGGCCCCTCCTCATGGTCCGACAGCGGCATGTCCCTGGGCTCCCCGCCACCGCCGCCTCGCGCCCCTGCCCGCTCGCCGACACCCCAGATTCCACCTCAGCCCGCCACCCGCGCCCAGGGCCCGGGGTCAGAGCGACCCGGGCCGCGGTTCACTCAGAGGCCTAGTCCCCCATGGCGCGCGGCAGCGCGGGAGCCAATCCGAGGGCTGCAAGTGTGAGCCAATCCGTAGGCTTCAGGAGTGAGCCAATCTGAGGGTTTCTGGAGCGAGCCAATCAGAGGACTACAGAAGTGAACCTGCCGGTAGCTGCTAAAAAAGCCGGGTTGGGCATTCTACTCAAAGGGAGCGTGAAGGGCTCTGAATCCAGACACGCTACCTTTCAGTACTCCGTGCAGTCAGTACAGAGAGCAGCCAGAGAAAGAGTTCGTGCAATTAGAGTCCCCCTCCCGCCCCACCCGTTGCTCCCCGCGGGCTGGACCGGTTGGGACCTGTGTGCCGCGGTCGTGCCTGTGGCCCCTGCTCCCCTATTAGTAAGTGAACGCGAATCCAGGAGTTTCTGGGCTCCACACTTGTTTCCCACATGTGCCAGATGTTTATATGAGCTGAGGAACTAAAAGAATAAAAATGGAACCAAGTACTTTCCTCCAGAACTAGAACACAGAGCTCTGGGGTACTCGTGGTCTAGAGAAAAAGCTCTGCTTCTCTTTGGGAAGCTATATTGAAAAAAAAAAAAAAAAAAAAAAAAAAAAAAAAATATATATATATATATATATATATATATATATATTAAAGCAAAGTTGAAAGTAGGTGCATATAGGATTCGTATTACAGATCTGATCTCCAAAAGTGCTGCTATCTAGAACCTTGGAACATTCATGCTTTTATTGCTTCTACCGTTATTATTTTAGTCGTATATAAAAATGTATCAGGCATCTCTCAGGACAGACTCGATGCTACTACGGCCCTAAACTCTAAAGGACACCTGTATCATGGTGTCTTCTTTAGCCACCCTGTGAAAATTGCTCTCCCTCGTCCCTTTTCCCTGCTTAATTTTTATTTTTGGTACTTCGTCACCTAAAATGCCCTATATTCTTCACCCCACCCCCGGTTATTTTCTTTTTCCACTAAAGTGTAAGCTTGGACTGTTTTGTGGCTTTCTGCTTTGACTATTTTCTGAGAACCTGTGAGAGGACTGAGTGAACAGTAAGTGTTCCATTTATTTACTGAATCAATTTAGCTAATGAGCCGGCGTTACTCTTAAATGTTTTAAATTATTTTGTAAGTGAATATTTCTTTTTAAAAATAAAATCTTGGGGGCTGGGGATTTAGCTCAGTGGCATAAGCACCTGCCTTGCAAGCAGGCAGTCATGAGTTCGATCCCTGGTACCGATTAAAAAAAAAGACAAAAAAAATCTTATAAATCCCATCTCCAATATGATTTTCTAAACATGATTGGAAATTACTGAACAATATTCTCTGAACAAAGTAACAAACATGGGAGCCAGAGGACTTAGAATTATATATGCGATTCTAAAATGGTGGCAGTGTTCTTGATGAGATTGTTAGGAGAAATGAATGGCTAGTAAAGCACTTAAGCAGAGCTGACCTCTTCTTATCTATATGAATACTCAGCAAATATTACTCACTAGTGCTATTATCAGCTCTTTGTATGTTGAAGGGGGTGAGATGTACAAGGGATTGAAACTAAGACCTTGCACTAAGCTATGTGATGCCATGGTTACAGGTGTGAACCACTATGCCTAACTTGTTATCAACTCAGATTTTTGTATTTCACAAAGTCCTGTTTCATCTTCATTGTGTGAACTTAGGCTTGATCCCATCTTGTCTATTTATTTATGCAGTTGTTTACTCCAAACTCATTCAGATTGAATTTATGATTATAATGCCCCATCCATGGAGGATGTTCCCAGGGCAATCAAAAAGGACAGTGCATGGTGGCTTATTTGAATTACTGTTGGTCTAAATGAAAGAGAAAAAGTATACAAGAGAAATGGTTCTTTTAAAAACTTAGTTCTTTTGAAACTGTTCACTCTGTAACTGTTTCATGGCTCTGTAATTACTTTCTTGACTACTGTAACCCTAAGAGCATAACTGAACATACAGGATGCTTGATCATACCATCGTACCAAGAGATGATCATTATCTGCCCTTGTAATTGATGAGCTCTCTGCCAGCTAATGAAAAGAACTGCCAGGTTGTTCTGTCTCACCTTTGCACCTCCTTTGTACCTCCTGGTTTTGGATCATATAAAAGTTCTAGACCACCAGAGATCTGGGCCTGATATTCTGGGAATGATCCCGATCAGTACCTGCTGATGCAAATAAATCTGCCTCCAAATCCTGGGTGTCATTTTGGTATTTCTTCTTACCACTGCATCAGAAGGGGTAATTTTCTTATCATCAGAGGTGATCAATTGAGTGGACTTCCACTTAACATATCTAGACAATTAAATGATCATCTATGTCATCCCCCTTAAACGTTGCAACAAATGTGTCAAAGCAGGTATTTTGTGGATAGGATTCCTAAATTTAATGGAAAATTGAGGTGTATGAGATCTAAGATTGCTTCTGGCTTTGTAACTGTGTCTTTAAAAATGTGTCCAATGAAAAGATTAGACAAAATTCATGTGCCTAGTTGAAATAGTGGGGCACAGAAATTGAATGTGGTGGTGCATGCCTGTAATTACAGCATTCCGGAGATTGAAGCAGAAGGATCCCTATGAGTTCAAGGCCAGCCTGAACTAGGCAACAAGACCCTGATTCACAAAACCAATAAAAAATAAAAAAGGAATGCAGCCCCAAAAGGTAGACCACTCAGTGGTACCTCATAGTTTGATGCTAATTCCTAACCTTGTCTCTGCACTCTTAGGAACTTATTAACTGGTTTAAGTATGAGTCCTTCTTTGTATGATGTGTTTGGAGGTATAATTTATCTTGAGCCTTAATCTCTATCAGACACTGCTAGGAAGATCACTCGGAGAAGAGTTAATAAAATAGTGCTACAGGATGAGTGTAGAACTCCCAAGTCAGATTTAAGTAAGTCACAACTCAAAGGTAGGAGATCTGAACAGCATATAGGAACCAAGTCCAAGGTGCCACTAGGAGTGATGTGGCTGACCCTAAGCAAAGGTTTCCTGCAGCCTAGGAGCTTCAGAAAATAAGATGTAAACACATGACCCATGATGCTTTGCAGGGAGAAAGGTAGATCTGGGCCACCTACCTTCACTTTGCATGACTGTCACTGTGCTCTCTATACCTGGGCAGCAGAGGTTGCCCTGCCCCGATGTGCAGAAAGATCAAGTCAGGAGTGGAGGGCTGGAGGAGAAGACTGGAAATCAGAATCCCCCATGTGTACTTCCCCCATAGAGGAGTTTCATTTGTTTTCAACTTATTACACTCTTAGGGGAATATAGTTCCAGGGTTTTCCCTTCTGCGTATTTTTTGTTTTCTTCCTTTTAGTTCGTGATGCCATTGGAGGTTGTTAACACAGGGAGACCAATCTGATGAACAAGAGCAGATTATTCAACCATTTTTCTAGATCTCTGAGTTCCACATCCGATGCAGGGCCCATTACTCCATGTCATGTAACCTGCCTGTGAGGTTCATAAAAAGTTTTCGAACTCTAGGTTCATTGATGACTTCAAATGCCTTTACACATTTCAATACAGTTCAAGCTTAAATGCATATAGTCCTATTCCCTGCTGATTCAGAAATATATCATTTGATTTATAACTAGGCATGCTTACAAACAGTAGTGCACTGGCACCAGCTTGCCCAGGTTTGAAGGAGCTAGTTGGGCTCTCGTGACATCACCATTGGCTGCTTAAAATTGTCCATGATGAGAGTGTTATTTACATAGTGGAAGTTTGCAAGTTCTACATTTACCAATACCGTGGGAAAGCTAACTAAACCAGTCATTTTCTATGGCTTAGATCCTGACTGTCCTCCAAAAGCTTGTGCTCCGACCTTGATCTCCAGCTCATGGCACTGTCCAGAGACGGTGAAATTTCAGAGATGGGGCCTACCAGAAGGAAGTTAGGTCACTGGGGCATCTGGAAAGGGACGCTGGACCCTGTTCCTTCCTCTGTCTCTGTACTTCATAGCTACCATGAGGTGAGCAGTTTTGTCCCATCCTATGCTCCCCACAATGAGGTTCTGCCTAGCAATAGGGCCAAGGGATCATGAACTGAAACTCCTGAAACCATGAACCAAAACAAACCTTTTTCCTGTTAAGTTGATTTTTTTATTTTGTCACAGGGACAGAAAACTAACATGGCATCCAAAGCATCTGAATGGCTGCTTACAAATTTCCAAAGAACTTTTAGAGGGAAACTGATTCTCCTTAGCAGCAAAATACTTTTTTTTTTTTTTTTTTTTTTTTTTTTTTGGTGTGTGTGTGTGTGTGTTTTTTTTTGAGACAGAGTCTCGCTATGCAGTTCAGGCTGACCTTGAGCTCACTTTGTAGCCCAGGCTGGTCTCACAAGGATCCTCTTGCCGCAGCCTCCTGAGTGCTGGGATTACAGGCATGAGCACCACGCCCAGCCATATGTAACATATCTTCATCACTTTTGATCCACTTTACCCTCTCCCTGCCCTTTGCTTCTTTCAGTTTTCTTATAGAGTCATTTATTCAAGTAAGGGAACAGATTTCTCAGCTCAGTTTGGTTGAATTAGTGACCAAACTCCCCAGGCAGGAATTTAGAACCTGAGCCTTATATTCCAAGTTGATTCCTCCCAAGACACAGTACTTTATGCAAAATTCCTGGACAGCTATTTTAAAGAGTACAAGAGATATTATGGTAGCCATTGTTGATTTTCCTATTGTCTGGTTTTGAAGGCCTGTAAGCTTTCATTCTTTTGTTTTGATCAGTTTTACACTATTGTGTTTTGTTTGAATTCATTGTGTGTGAAATATGGACAACTATTTCTTTTTTCTTGGACAACTATTTCAAAGAAAACGAGACATTATGGTAGCCACTATTGATTTCCTGTTGTCTTGTTTTGAAATTCTGTGTTGCTTACTCTTGTAATTCACAAACAAAATGGGGCTGGGGATTTAGCTCAGCGGCATAAGCACCTGCCTTGCAAGCAGACAGTCGTGAGTTCAGTCCCTGGTACCGATTAAAAGGAAAAAGACAAAAAAAAAAAAAAATTCACAAATGAGGCCCCATACTTGAGTTTAAAAAAGTGAGGCAAAAACATATTTTAAAAAGCAGCACTGATTTATTTTATCCTGGGCCCAGCGACACAGTGCAGTTGGAGATTGAAAAAGCTGTGTGTCGTTTCTCTACACTTGCTGCCCTTAAGTACACATCACAATTTACAAAGTAAGGGGTTATGGGTGTGGATCAGGAAATGAGAAAATCCTTGATCTGCTAAGAAATGAGGAAGACCTTTGTTCCACAGAGAAATCATGCAGGAATTTACAATTCTTTACAGAGGAGAGCACTGATTAACATATCAGTTAGGTCACCCAGAGGAAAAGAAACAGGCATATAGAACAGTAGGCCACATTACAGGTATTTTGGTATAATATAAATATAACGAAGCTCTTTTTGATAGTGTACAACACTTACATTGCTTTGTTCTGAGCTGCTTTGTTTTATTCTCTTTGAAATAAAAAAAATAAAAGAAAAATTCCTTTCTTAAAGTTCTAACAGCACTTTTAAAACCCACATTTTCTCTATAGTGTTCTTGAAGTATATTTAATTACCTAACTTAAATTGAAATTTGTTTTCTTCTCAAGCTCCCTATGCCCTGGGTTTGGTCCAGGTTTTTAAATTATCTTGGTGAGGAGTGAAGAAACTGACCTCAAAATTAAAATACAAATGACATACAAGACCTTCAAAGACACTTTGAAGCTTAAGCCATATTAACATTACAATAAATCTCCCTCTGCAGACCCCTCCCATCTAAAGCAATTAAATCTTCATTGGAAGAATTATGCTAAAAAGATTGTGCAATCTTTTTATATGTTACCTGCACTGACTCACTACTTTGAAATTCATTTCCTGAAACCATAGTGAAGAGCCTGAGCCAACAAAAACAATTCTCTAATCTCCCTCCAGTCACAGGAATCTTCAGGGCTGTATTTGCTGAGAGTTGAGCAAATAATTCCTGAAATTGTTTGGAGCAAAGGCCAGGTGGAACCAGACTGATAGAACTGTGGGGGACAAGTGGCAGCTGAAAAGATAAGAAGTATGAAATATAAATGACCTTTATCTTGAGAATGCAGGGAGAGACACCCCCCCATCCTCTACCCCTCCCCAGGCAACCTCTCCATGGAACACGTGGAGTGGGGGCATATGTGTAGCTTAGGTTAGGGGTGGTGCCTGAGGGGCATTAGGGATGCACAAGTAGCCCATTGGTATTCTTTTGGCGCCATAGGTAAATTCCTAGGGGTGGGGGAGATAGGAGCTCCTTGGTTCCGGCTGAGGCTTTTCCAGCTACAGTGTCCCGCCTGGGCCAAAACTCTTTCACAGACCATGCTGAAGTCAAGCTCCTAATCCCAAACAGTCTTGGCAAAGAAAGAGAAAAGACGAAAGCCCAGAGAGCAGCTACATGGGACAGCAGATTTGAAATAAAGAGTAGATAGTGAGTGGATTGGGTAGCTCTGAGCTGACGTGTGAGCAGTGGTAACACCAGGGCATGCACAGACACACACAGTGTGTCCTACTTACTGTCTCACTGGTGAGACACATACCCAACACCCACAACGGATGAGGAAAGGTTTATTTTGGCTCACAGTTTCTTTTTTTTTTTTTTTTTTTTTTTGTCTTTTTCTTTTTTATCGGTACCGGGGATCGAACTCATGACCGCCTGCTTGCAAGGCAGGTGCTTATGCCGCTGAGCTAAATCCCCAGCCCCTGGCTCACAGTTTATAAAGGTTTCATTCATAATTGCCTGACCCAAGCCAAGTTGGCATGGCAAAGGGACATTGCAAAAAAGAAATAGCTAATGGCAGGGCTGGCAGAAGCAGAGAAAAATCAAGAGAGGAGTAGGGAGATAGATCCTTCCAGGCCATACTCCCCAGTGACCCACCTTCTGTATCTAGGCTTCCCGCCCAACACCACACACAGCTATAAACTCTTCAGTGGAGTACACCATAGAGAGCATCATGCCATCATGATGCAGTCTCCTTCCCAAGCCCCACCATGTGTGCATGAGACTTTGGGGGACATCCAGATGCAAACCATAACACAGTATGCTCAAAATACACAGTAGGTCTTTACATTAAAAATTATTATGATAAGTCAGGTGTGGTGGCTCATGCCTGTAATCCCAGCTCTCGGGAGGCTGAGGCAGGAGGATCGTATGTGAGTTTGAGACCAGCCTGGGCTACAAAATGAGCTCAAGGCCAACCTGAACTGTATAGCATGAGACCCTGTATCAAAAAAGGAAAAAAAATTATTACGGTAAAAGACATTGCCATTAATTCCCCTCAAATAGTCATTTTGGAAACAATTAAGAGTTTATAAATATGGCCCGCTTTAAAGACACACTTACCCAATTGTTACTAATACTTTCTGAAGCAGTTTTGGAAGTCCTCTCTCAAGTGAGTGGTTTACAAGGTGTAATAAAAATTACGGCAAAAGCTGCTGCTGAGTGCCATCCAACAGTAAGACAGAACTCAAAAAGCACTTCAGGTGTCCTCGTCCACCCCATTCACTGGGTCTGGCACCGTATGACTCCTGGCTCTTCCCCAAGTCAAAATGACCACAAGAGTGAAACATTTTTAATTGACTCAGGATATGGAGCAGCCACAACAGCATAAAGATGTGGAAAATGACTTCCAAAACTGCTTCAGACAGTGGCAAGAACAACAGGATAGGTGTGCTCAAAGAGAGGAAGATTTTGAGGGAGATTAAGGGCAATGTGTCTTTTATAGCAATGCATTTTAAAAATATAATCATTTGCTGTGCTTTTAGATCATACCGCACACACACTGGGTGACATCCTTTGTGACTGAGAAGCTGAAGATAGTGCCAGCCCTGAAGGTGCCAGAGTTGTGTCCAAAGAATTAGGCCTCTAAGGAGCTGGGGATTTAGCTCAGCGGCATAAGCGCCTGCCTTGCAAGCAGGCAGTTGTGAATTCAATCCCTGGTACCGATAAAAAACGAAAAAGACAAAAAAAAAAAAAAAAAAAAAAAAAGAATTAGGCCTCTTGGTAATTTTTCTGCATTATCTGGAGAGCTTCCTTGAAAACAAGACAAAAGACCATGACAGAATCCTCCTGTCCTTAGCAAGAGCCCAGCATGGCCCACTTAGCAGAGTTGGGGGGGGGGCCTCCTGCACTGTGGCAGGTCTGTCATGTTTTGTAGAATTAATTTTTCTGGACTTGTGAAGTGCTCTCTTCAACACCAGCCTTCTTTCCTCTATCACTAGTTCCTGGAAAAAAATTATGGCTTTTGTACTTGTAAAATTTATTTTGTCTGGGATTTAGCTCAGTGGTTATAAGTGCCTGCTTGGCAAGCACAAGGTCATAAGTTCAATCCTGGTACAAAAAAAAAATGTTTCCAAAGATTTTTTTTAAAGCTATAATCCTGCTGGGCATAGTGGTGCAAACCTATAATCCCAGCATTCAGGAGGCTGAGACAGGAAGATCTCCATAAGGCCTGCCTGACCTGCGTAGTGAACCCTGTCTCAAGAAAATAAAATAAAAGCTATCATTCTCTTCTGAGAAAATAGATACATTAATGAAAAACTTCTCTGTGTAAAATAAGAAGATTTTCTTTTTTTCATTTTTCTGATGGAATCTTGTTGCTATCAGGCTGGTCTCCAACTCAACTCAAGCCAAATTCCCACCTAAGCCTCCCAAGTAGTTGGGACTTACAGATGTGTGCCACCACACCTGGCCTGAGGTTTTAATAAAATTAGTAAAACTAACTATCATTTACTGAGAAGCTACAACAAGCCCTTGTATTAAAAGATCAAGATATAACCTGTATATGTACTAAGGAACATATTTAATATATACTGTAAACATATACTAATGAAAAGGGTAAAAAAGAATAATACCCCAAAAAAGGTTAGATTCCTTCCCTTGAGGGCAGGTATTGTTTATCCTGGGCAATCACAACAGGCAGAGGACAGGTCCACAAGAACTGTATGTGCGCAGTCAATTGGCGGTAAGCAGAATGCACAGACACCTCCTTTAATCCCAGGTCCCTCTACTACTGGCAACATACGCAAACATACCACTTCAGGAAACGAAGAAACTAACATTAAGAGAGTTCAAATCATTTATCAGAGGACATCTGACTCTGATTCCCAGATACCTTCTGTGTTATAACTTGGGCCCCGGTATAAAATCCAAGGAGGCAAGAGACCAAAAATTTAGGTGGCAAAGGCTTTATTTCCAGGCCTGGCGACCAGTCTCCGGGAGCCAATTTGGAGACTGTGTCCCAGAGACTGAAGGGAGGACTTTAAAAAGAGGCTGGAGGAAAAGGGGGGGGGACGACAAAGAAACCTGCAGAGCCATCAAACTTGTTGACCCGAGTCTGGAAACTGTATTGCTGTCCACTTAGCTCTGACAATCTCGGGAGTTCCTGGTGTTTCTCAAATTACTCCCATCCTACAGACTGACATTATCTCGGAGTGGCACATCTGCAGCAATATTTGGAGAAGAAAGTGGACAGTTAATTATCCCAGGACAGCTTGTTTTCGCTAATGGGTGCAAAGGGGTCAAGAGTTACAAGAAGCTGAAACTTAAGTTTTACAAAGATCTGATATCTAACTCATTTGATGCATACAGAACAAAAGGAAAGCACCGATTGGGGTTTGGGCCATAGTATTTCCCGGTAATTTCTTTGAAGCTAAACAGTTCTTAAAATTGGGGCAGGCTCATTTTATGACAGATCATCACCGGGTCGGGAAAAGGTCACTAGAAACCCAAATTCTTTATGGCCTAGATAGATAGGTGAGGGGAGAAGGAGGCAATAAGGCGCCATACGGAACAGAGAACAGCGGTTATGTGTCAAGGTCAGGTAAAGGGTTAAACTCATATGCAAATCTCTGCACACAAGCAGGTTACTTTAAACAAATGTAAATTAATGGGCCATTCTAGTTTTCTTTAGCTCTTTAGCGGAGAATAGAGGCGCCTAACAGTGATTAACAACCCTTGTTAGCTTGTTTTAGCACAACTTCTGTAGTTTGTAGAGTGCAACAGTGGTTAACACATCAGTTAGGTGAGATTCTTGCAATTCTTTACAGAGGAGAGTGTTGCTCAACATATCAATTAGGTCACTTAACATATCAGTTAGGGAAAAAGGATAAAACAAACACATTTAGTAAGCCACTTTACAGGTTTGCTATAATACACATATAACGAAGCTATTTTCTTAGAGTACAACATTCTGTTACCCAGGGTTCCTTGGGAGAACAAAGCTGGGTGGGCCGGGTCAGAATGTTCCATTGCCATGGTGACTGCCTGGCGGCAAATCAACACCGCAGACTTCACACAGGCTTCAGATAGCTGGACGTGAAAGGTGAGTAATGGTAGTTCTTGCAGGAAAATTAACACATTTGTTCAGTGTAGACAACCAATTCTCATACGGGGGTAGTTATATTCCAGGAAACCACCACAAACACTGAATTAACGAACAATCATCGTTTCTTGGGGAGGTTAGGTTCCTGCAAGCCTGTGGTCACAAGATTTTTGTTAAACAACCAATATGTGATTTTGTTTCATACAAGCTTCTAGGGTGCTGTTTTGTTTTATTACTAGTTTATTTTGTTTTGAGAAGAGGTTATCACTGTATTCCCCAGGCTAGCTCAGAATGCCTAGGATCAAGAGTTCCTCCTGTCTCAGCCTCCTGAGTATCTGGGATAACATGTATGTACCACCATGCCTGCCTTATGTTTCTGTTTAAACATACCTTCTCTAATCCGTGCTCATTAACTCATTAATTATTGATTGAGTCCAATCAGTAGCACAACAGCTAGTGCCTGCACAGAGCTTAATGTTTCTCCCAGGCAAGTCACAGCTTTCTTGTGCTCATAAACAGTTGAGAGCACATCAGCACTAACCTTTGGAGCTCTTTTAAACAGCAAAATCCACCCAAAAACCCCACAAAAAGGTGAAAGTTATGACACTGCATAGACCATGAAAGTACACATGTATAAAGCCCATGAGTTGGAACAAACAGGCAGAAGGAGCCCTGTCAACCAGAGCTGGGAATGAAGCACCGCCCTTGCTGCTTGGGACCTGGTCTCCACTAGTTGAAGGCACCACAGATATTAATTTCATGGAGCACATTTTAGTAAGTGCTTGTTTTGGGTGCTTTCCCTTGCCTGGTACACAATCGCTGAGAGCTGATCAGACCCCAGATACCTGTGGGGGTAATGGCAGGGGACAGAAAGACGAGAGACAAATTTAAGGTACAAGGACCCAGGAGGAACCTGCCTCTGTGGACAGCTACCCTGAGCTCTGTGGTTCAGGCGCTCTTCTTAGCAAGCAAGGAGCTCAGGGATGGGGGTAGAGTTCTTTTCCTGGAACAGCAATGGTAGTAAATGGAACCAGTTAACGGAGAACTGTCCTTCTCCTATCTTTAGATTGCCCTCAGCAGATGTTATCTTGCCCCAGGGATGCTGTGGTTAGGAGCTTTCTCTGAGCAGCCAGGAAGCAGGGGCCTTCCGTACACTTCTCTCTTCCTAAAGCAAGGTCACAGCAGCCACCAGACCATGGGATTCCAGTCATGTATTATTTCATATCCCCAACAGAAAATACCTGCAGTTTAAGGGAGGAGAGTTTTATTCTGGTTCAGAGTTTCACTCCATACTCGGCTGGCTCCAAGGCAGTAACATGGCAGCAGTGGGCCTGGTGTGGGTTAAGGTGCTCAACCCATAGCAAACCCAGTGGAAAAGGTGCTCAACCCAAAGCAAAAAGAGAAGGGAGGAGTCAAGTGGTATGCTTACTATTTCCAGATTCTTTTCCACAGCCATAGGTTATGCACACAATTTGTCTCCACATGAGAAACTGTAAGCAAGGTGAAGTTGCTCGGACACCGAGCTGTTCCTGTGTCATACCAGGGCCACCTTCCTAGGCCCCATTCAGGGCCCCATATGCAGAGGGCCTTACACTGGATACAGCTCTGCTAGCACCTTCTGGAAGTCTGCACCGTTTTTGTTTCTTTCTTTCTGTCTGTCTGTCTGGTTTGGTTTGGTTTTTTGAGGTAGGATCTTACTACATAGTTCAGGCTGGCCTTGAACTCATATGTAGCCCAGGCCAGCCATGAACTCTTTTTTAAAGGAGTGAAACAAAACAGAACAAAGCAGATCAGAAGAAAACAATGTAAACGACAGGATTTCAAAGCAAGTGGCCTTGAATTTGTAGCAATCCTCCTATCTCAGCCTCTCAAATGCTGGGAATACAGGCATGTACCACCATGCCTGGCTGGGAGTTTCAACTGTTTTCTAAAAAAGATCTATCATTTCATTTTCACTGGGCTCATAATTATGTCACCATGTCTCATCACACAGTAAGTGAACAGATTAGTAACTCAATAGTTCTCAATGTGTGTACTACCATCTGGTCCGTAGACACTCTGAATTGGATATAACTTCCACTGAATGAAAAAAACAGACCCAAAGAAGGTAGGTAACGCAAACAAAGTGAGAGTAGGTAGCATAACTAGTAGTTGAAGCAAATGATTCCCATTCTTTTATCACTAGATCCTATGGCTGAGTAATTTTGGCTCCAGTTCTCAAGTTATTTATAGTATGAGTTTAAATTTCCTGATCTTCAGATCTCCAGATCTGAGAATAGACCCCAGGGTCTCATGTGTTTTATGAAAGCTTTCTACCACAAAGCTCCATCTGACAGTTTAACTGAGTAGCCCAGACTGGACTGGAACTTGTGATTCTCCAGCCTTAGCCTCCTGAGTAGATGGGATTAGAGGCATGTGCCATCACACCCAGATAAAATGAACTTTTAGCAAAATATAAGTGAGCTCAAAAACACATAAAAGATAATTAACATGCATTTCTTTTCCTTTCCTTTAGTTATATCCCTGCTTGTTTTTCATGCATAGCTTCTCTAGAGCAGAAAGCAAAAATATTAAAGTTTAATTTCTTTTTTTTTGTGCTGGGGATTGAACTCATGACCTCATGCTTGCCAGGCAGGTGCTTAAGCCACTGAGCTAAATCCCCGGCCCTTAAAGTTTAATTTCTGGTGAATTAGTATTTTTAGTAAAAGAAAGTTTAAATTAATGACAAAAATGAGACATTTGGACTAACTGTATATTTATTCCATTCATACTATTCTTGATTTCACTATACCAGATCATTAATTGGTGCTTGGAACAATGAGCTTTATTGAAACCAACATAATTCTTTAGTGCTGATTGAACATCTGAAACATTTTGTCACCTTTGATTTAAACTTGTTAGATCCAGTGTCAAAAAGGAGTCTTTTCATTTCCGTGATTGACATCTAAGGATGTCTAATTAAATCATTTGAATATCAAGAAGGTCTTTTCAAGTGGTTTGAAGTTTATCTTTTATATTTATGCAGAAATATGAACTGATTTATATCCTTAAGAAAGTCAGTTTTTCAGCTGCCTCTTATTGGGGTCCACAATTCTACTGGGTTCAAACTCTAAAAGGTGAGAAAGATACAGCTCTGAGCTCAAGGGTTCCCAAGGGAGATGAAAATATAAACCTGGAAAGCTTAACATGCTATAGATGGAAAAATTAAACCATGGTTCAACAGTTTTTAAAAAGTTTCATTCTTCTCATATGTTATTGTCAGAGTTTCTCTTAATTTGTTCAAATTCCCAAGAAGAAAATGAATATAGGACAGGTTAGTTCTGCCTAAAATACTAGATTAGAGAAAAAGTTTTTCTTGTTTCTCCTACTCCCACACTGATCTTGGGAGCAAAGCCAAGGTCAACCCACAAGCAGGAAGTGAACCCTACTGAGGTAGGAGATTAGGGTGTAGCAAAACTGGCTGGGGAGGTAGGCGTGGCCGTTAATATAAAATCCCAAACATATGCGCAGAACAATTCCCAAAACCCTGTGTGTGGACTTCTCAAGAAATTCAAGCAGACTTTGAATAGGATGGCCTAGACTGATGTCATCCTGCAGAATGTGGTCCCAGCTCTTCTCAGGACCAATATGTAGAAGTGCTTGAGGGTTTCCTGAAGGTTTGGACAGCATAAAAGGATACACCCATGCCTTAAAGGATTAGACTCTCATTTTCTGTGATGGTCAATGCTGCGTTTCCCAGATGCGGTGTGTTCTTTTATCTTTGCTCTTACCCTCTTTTTCTATTTGGTCTAAGCTCACTCTGCTGAGTCAATGTCTGACCCACTCTTCATAGTTTTTGCAAATGTCTGACACTGATTGGGCACTAAAATGCATCTTTAGGATAAGATGTCCCTCTGGCTATTCTGGGTCTAATATCGTGAATCACCTGAGGGCAGCAGCCAGGCAAGCCATAAACTGGGCCAGATTTTCATCCCTATTCTGAGTGTTTCTTTCAGTTTTTCAAAATTCACTGCCTTATTAGCTGCTGTGTGAAGTCCCTCTGTTGTAGAGGAGACCATGAGATCTCAATTGGCTATATCCTGGGCTCCTGCTGTGTCCTCCTGGGGAACATCAGTGCCCTGAGGAAGGTCATGCTAAAAGCATTTGCATTCCTTCCCATAAGGCTGGGACAGGGAGGTTACCCCATTTAACTTGGGAGAGAGTAAAGATAACATTTAAATCTGCCCAGGTGGAATTATATTGTTGGGCCAAGTGCTGCATTTGTATACATATTGCATGGGATTGGAGAAGGAACCCAGATGTTTTCTGGTGCCGGGGAGATGGCATGTCTCATCCTAAATTTTCTTTATGGTTGTCTGTTCTGTTGCCTGAGGGCGGCATGGCCTTTCAGTGGTTTTCTGTTGTTTGTGGAGGGCAGCATGTTTGCTGAGAAGGTCTGTCTCAGGCCAGACATGACAGGTCAGAGCAGAGGCCATGGTAGTGGGTGGTGGAGTTATTCTGCAGAAGGAGAAAGAGGATCTGGTTAATATCATAGTGAATACTGGCTTCTAATATGTAGAACTTTTTGTTTGTTTCCAGGGCAGCAAGAACTGGTTTGTTAGCATAATGGCAACTATGAACAGAACCAATGAAAAAATGAAGAAACTTCTAGGAAGGAGACAGTATCTCCTGAAGGAGATCAATGAAAAGCGTGAATCCAACTGTTTAGTAGAAAGAAGCAATCAAGTCAGCTTACTGAGGGCTCAAAAGAGGCATTTCATCAATGCCTATCAGCCCCTTGCCTCCATCCAGGATAAAGAACCTGTTCCTGACAGTGGCAGGAGCTCTTGGGTCCAAATGAGTCACATTGTTCACAAAGAGAGAAAGCACTTTTCACCAAAAAGTAAGATATCATAGTAGGATTCTTACTCCACCAATACGAGAGATTTATAAGAAATTTATGAAGCATTTCCTAAGAGGTAGCTAGGTATGACCCTGGGGTAGTTGGAATCTGGAAGCAGGGTTCAGTAATGCTAGCACTCAGGAAGCTGAAGCAGGAAGATCATTATGAGTTTGTGGCCAGCTTTGGGCTATATAATGAGTTCAAGCCCAGGCTGAATTACATAATGAGACCTTGTCTCCAACATCAAACAAGCAGACAAACCAAGAAATGTAAACTTTTTTTTTTGTCTCTTTGAGACAGGCTCACACTATGCAGTTCAGGCTGGCCTTGAGCTCACTTTTGTAGCCCAGGCTGGTCTTCAATTCGCAAAGATCCTCCTGCCTCAGCCTCCCGAGTGCTGGGATTACAGGCGTGAGCCACCACACCTGGCTCAAAGCTCCTTTCACAGTTAGCCTGAGATACTGTCTTTTCCACGCCCCTGCTTGCCTGAGAGTAACAGTGTGTGAGGATATCATCGCTCTGACCACTGGTGGAATGTGAGCTGAACTTGAGTATTAAGAACTTCTGAATTTTAGGGGTTTCTGGGGTGTAGCTCAGTGGTGGAGTACTTGCCTAGCGCATGTGAAGCTCTGGGTTCTACCCTTTCCTGTTTTAATTGCTAATATGATAAATATCTAGAAATATTAGACAAGATCTTGATAGACTACTAAGTGATATTTAGGAGCATAAAGGACCCTAAAACTAAAAAGTTTTGAGAGTTGTTGGTTTAAATAAAATATAATGAAATATATATATACATATATATAAAATGATTGACTCAGTACTATACATTTGTAAAATCCTGTTAAAAATTTCTCCATGGTTTTTCTCAATTTTTTTCTTGAAACTTGTAGCACTCAGTTTCAACTCTAATTCTCATCAAGAATAAAAAAGAGATATTGGGGTTTTATTTCCCTGTTGCCACGGTGGAAAGTACCTGAGAACGGAGAAGGGCAATGGTGGTTTCACTTCTTTTTTTCAATGCCTATTTTATTTTTTCAGTGCCTACTTTATTCTGAATTTTTCAGGTTTGAGAAAATCAGTGACAACATGTTCTGTTCCTAATCTGAGTTTAGAGCAAATGACAGATAGGTTGAGATAAAAATGTTGACTTCCATTATTGAAAAAACAAGTCTACATTGGAGGAATTGACTAATGAGCACTTCATCCTAGACAGAATTTGCCCCATCCCAAATCCAAATTTCAAACCCACTGTATCAGACTCTGAGAGATAAAGCACACTTTCCAGGCAGCTGCTGATGCAGGGAAGGCTCTTGTTTGTAAAATTAGATGAACTTATTAGTCTGGTGGACTCCCAATAAATTGTCTTAAATGGCATCGTTCAGTATGAAATAGCCCTCCCCACAGAGTAGATCACACTCCTCTAACCTTTGAATGTCGAAGAACATCAAAGCTCAGTACTGGCCCTTTTACTCTGTGAGGACTTAACCTGTCAGAGCACTGAAAATAGATCTCTGCCCTTTTCCATTTCTATTTTCAGCTCTGAACTCTCTCTTCCAACTTCCAGACAAGGAATCAAATGTGCATATCAGATTGTCTTTTTACCTGAGGGCATCTGCAGGTTCCCATTGATGAAACAGTTCTTATTCCTCATCGCATGTCTTAGTGACTTTTGTCTCATTGCTGAGACAAAGTACTGGACACCCAAAGTGAAAGGAGAAAGGTTTGTTTGGCTCACCGTCTGTAGAGGTTTCAGTCCATAATCGTCTGGCTCCGAGGCAGGTTGGTATCACAGAGTTCATGGCAGCCAGGAGTTAGCAAAGCAAACAAAGGAGGGGAGACAGCCACTTTATGTCTCTTGTATCCAGCCTACTGGGACTTAGGGTGGTGCCAGCCTATCAGTGGGCTGATCCAGCAATCACCTACCCTTAATCCCAGCACCTTAATCCCAGCATTGTCCTGTGAATCAATCACACTCTCTAGATTCAGCCACCTTTGAAAAAGCCCCATCTAAAATTGCATGAAGCTTGGGGGACATCTAGACACAAACCGTAACACCCCAAACACAAACATGTCATCATTTAACTTCATATGTCTCATCTCAGAAAATGGCAAAAGACCTAGAAGGACCTTTGAGCCTCCTCCTTCCCTCATCCAGCCAGTCAGCAAGTCCTGTCTATGTCTCCTCCAAAATCAGTCCTGAATCTGATCACAGCCACCACCTAATACAGTCCACGATTATCTCTCCAGAGGTGTAGCAGGGGCTTCCTGACTGTCCCCAGCTTCCCCCATACTCATTGCGTCAAACAACAGCCTGAGTGACCTTTTAAAAACATGCAGTAGACTGCTCACTTGATGCTTATACACTCCTGTGACCCTGAGCCTCATGGTCCACCTGTGTGAGGAGGAAACAACTCTTTTTTTCTTTTTCTGGTACCAGGGATCGAACTCACGACCATGCACTTGCCAGGCAGGCACTTATGCCACTAGCTAAATCCCTGGCTTCTTCTGTATTCTTTATGTGGTCATTCAATATTATTTATGTGTGCCTTCTTTATGTCGGGCAGCATAAGAATGAATTAAAAAAATCCCTGCCTCAGAAAGTTTAGATTTTATTGGGTAGATCAAGGTAAACAGTTTTTAAAAATAGATACTGATGTCAGATGGTGATAAGTGGTTACAGAAGCTGAAGTAGGAGCTCAGAAAATGTTGCTTGAAAGAGAAGAAAAGGTTGCATGGAGAAGCATTGCTGCCCAAATAGTACATACATAAGGGTTAGTCTCCAAGGCATAAGAAGTAATGGTCTAACCCAGTTGGTGTTCTAAACTGATGAGGAGGTGTGTTAAGCTCAACATGAGCTTCTCACATAATACTTTTAGTAGGCAGCTCAAATGTGTCATCTTCTGCAATGAATTATTCATTCATCTACCCATCCATTTATTCAGTAAGCACTGAGTGTTCAGTGCCAGACACTGGGAAGGATGATGTGAATAAGCAATCATGGGTCAGCTTTCTGTTACTGTAACAAGTAGCTGAGATAATCAACTTATAAAGAGAAAAGGCTGTTTTAGTGCTGGAAATCTAACTCAGAGCCTTGCACATGCTAAGCAAGGGCTCTATCATGGAGCTGTACCCACAGCATGAAAATGAGGTTTAGAAATACCAAGTAACTAAAATTATCAGGCTAGCTAATGGCAGTCTGCAATCAGGCAAATGCATTGCTTTTGGGCCTCTGGTAAGGCTGCTAGATAGGAATGGAGAGGAGCACGTGGTGGAGCAAAACCGCTCACTTCATGGCCAAAGAGCAAAAGAGAAAGGGGTCAGGGTCCTGTGGAAGGACACACTTGTAATGACCTAAAGACATCTGCCTGGGCCCCACCCTTCAAGGTTCCACCACCTCCCAGTGGTGCCAAGGAGAGGGGCGAGGTCAAACGTACATGTAACACAAGGGCCCCTAGAGAAATTCCCAGTCTAAACTACAGCAAGAAGCCCTGCGTGTTGAAGGTGGGAGGGAGGCTGGGATGTGCTAAGAGCACTTTGCACTCCAGTAGCTCCCTTTGCTTCTCTCTGTAGTGATGTCAATACCGGGGACAGAGTTTTCTTGGCCAGAGATCTCCAAGCTCTGTCTTTGAGTCTTCTACAAGGAGATTTGGAGGCTGAAGGAAATAGTGTTGCTTAGACATAAACCTTGGAGAGCAAAAAACATGGTCCAAGTTCTGCCTGTGCCATCAACTAGTCTCATGCAGTTTGTCAGTTATCATCTCTAAACCTTGGTTTCAGGGGACAGTGGTCCACCATAGAGCACTGCTCAGCAAGCAGGAGGCGCTGGGTTGGCTCTCTAGCACTGCAAACAAAACGAAACACTCTGCTTCACCTTAGTTTTTATATCTGTAAATTAGTATTTATCCCATCTGCCCTCCATGTTTTGTGTTTTTGGTTTTTTTTTTTTTTTTTTGGTGCTAAGGATTGGAGTCATGACTTTGTGCTTGGCCAGGCAAGCCCTTGTGTGGCTGAGCTAAATCCTCGGCCCCTCCATGTTACTTTGGAAGCTACAATACAGTATTATACAGCATATTACATATCTTTTTATTTTTTATTTTTCAGATAATGCTATATTCGGATAAAGTGCATCTCCAGAGACACACAAATATATGCTTTGAAACTTCAATGCCTGTGCAAATTATTTAGAAATATTAATCACAAAAGAAGCTAAATGAATTAGTTAACCGGGCTATAAAATGTTTGAGTCCTATTAAACATACATCTTCATTCATTCCATTGCATCCTTTAGACTTCATTTTGGGTATCTGACAGGCTCTGGATCATTAGAGACACTTTCAAAGGTGAATTACCTAAAGCTTATAGTGATCTAAATGTTTACTGATCAAAATGTTTTAGTGTTAGTTTAGTTTTGTTTCTGTGAGTCACACCAGTTAGGTTGCAAGCTAAGTGCTCAGTCAATACCTCCAATTGTTTAACTGCGTCACTTTGTCATGATTTAAATTACTGCATACTTGATAGGCCCTATAAGGTGTGCATAGTTAGGACTTTTTATTACATTTTGTTATATTTCATTGCCCTTCCTTAAAGTGAGCTTAGAATCTTCTTGTGGCCAAATCCCATTTGGTTGCCATCACCTTGACCTCATGGCTTCCTAGATAGCAGAATTTCAATCTCAGCTCAGTTTGGGTTCCTCTTGGAACAACGTAGATATTCTATAGGGTAGGTAGAGTGCTGCCTGGCCTAGGACCCAGTTGCTTCTTGGGACGTGTCTTTACATCAATAAAACATCAACCTGTATTTAGTTACTCTCTGCCCCTGTATAACCCTGTGACCCACGGAAAGTCAGCACATTCTGACGTGAGAAGGGATCTGGCCTGTAACCCTGCCTCAGCCACCTCAGTCCCATGGCATCCTTGGATAAGCACAGAAATACCCAGATCTTCAACTTCCCAAAAGACAAATGTCTAATTTCAAGGACAGTGAAGGGGGTTGGGCTGCCAGCGTTGCATAGGCAGTGACAGAGATGAGACCCCTGGTCTCATGACCAGCAGCTTGAGTCCTCCTTGGTCCCCACCTTCTCCAGACAAAGCCGCACACACAGGCTTCAGCTACAGCTAGGCATCCCTGGGTTGATGAAACCCAGGCTTTGCTTGGAAGATGTCTTTACTGCCCCAGCCGGAGGGTACACTGCCCATGACCCAGAGGGGACTCTCTCGCTTTACTACATGCAGAAGATTTGAGCACCCAGGTGGTGAGTGTGAGGTGCCCCCTCCCAGGCCCACCTCCTCACGTCTTCTACCAGCCCAGCCTGTTTCCTCCCCAGCACCTCTGCCTTTCTGGAACCACCTGTGGTCTCTGGAGTTATCTTTTTCTCTTACATCTCCTTTACCTGACTTCACCCTTGGCAAGATTTGAGTGAAAGAGAAGTCCCTTCGGGGAAGACTTCTCTGGTGTCCCCAAACCCCACCACCGCACATTTCTGCCCTGTCCACTGTATACCCTGCAACAGACTCAGGCCAAGACCAGAAACTCATAAGTCACAAAACAAGATGTGGGCTTTGATCCCACCTGCAAAGGCAGGAAGTCCAGCCACCCTCTCCCCCTATCAGGAATGTTTGGTATCTGTCAGGGCACACTGGGTCCCCAGCTTCCTCCTTTTCTGTCTGGCTTCCGGTCAGGCTAATGCTGGCCCTGGAGGCTTCCTGAGGAACCCAGGTCCTCAGAAAAGGCATCAGCCCCCTCCTCTCCTATTGTTGCTACAGTCACAGCCTGCTCCCCAAGAAGTTCCTGCGGGCCCCTTTCCTGTCACTGTGTGACAGTCAGAAGCCAAGCAGCATCCCTCTGCCTGTGGCCATCTACAGAAGGCCTCTGAGGTTTTTGTTTTTATTTTGGTACTGGGGACTGAACCCGGGGTCTTTGCACCAAGCTACATCTTTTTTATTTTGAGACAAGGCCTTGCTAAGTCCTTAAGTTACTCAAGATGTGCTCACACTTGAAATTCCCGTTTCAGCCTCCCAGAATGCTAGAATTACAGGTATGCACTATCACACTTGGCCTTCAGAACAAGAAGGGCCAATGTAACAGGAAGACTGGATTGTGACACCCAGAATGAAGGGCTCATATGGGCAAGCTGAAGACACACTTACCCAGACCTGCCCTTTTCTGTCCTGTCTCCAGAAAAGTGGATGAGTGAAGTGGTCCGAGGAGGGTCAAAGACCAGAGAATGCTCAGAGTTCCTGTGGCAGTTTTAATACTGTGCCCTTTTCCTTTCCAGGCCCCACTTGCTCATCTCTGAGGCTGTCTCAGCCTCCCAAGCAGCTGGGAATACAGGCCTGTGACACCTTACTCTGCAAGAGTAAATGTTTGTTGAAAGAATAGGTGTTACAGATTGGATTAAAGTGACTAACCAATCTGTACTCCTTCCAAATTCAAATTGCTTTATTTACAAAGAAGGTAATGCCTGAGTGCAGAGGAGTAAAAAGAGTCGTAGATCACTGAGTTTCTCTTCAGGATGGGAATGACCTGGGCCTGCCTGGCAGTTCTGTTGCCCACACTCACTCTCAAAAATCCACCCCAGGAAGAGAGCTGCACGCTGCTCCAGGAAAAAGTGCACAGCTTTTGGCTGGGCGTCATGGCTCACGCCTGTAATCCCAGCACTTGGGAGGCTGAGGCAGAAGGATTGTTGCAAGTTCAAGACCAGCCTGGGCTACAAAGTGAGCTCAAGGCCAGCCTGGACTGCATAGCAAGACCCTGTCTCAAAAAGGCAAAAAACAAAAAACAAAACAAAATAAAAGAAGTGCATAGCTTTTCTCACTGGTCTTTCTAGAACACTTTCTCACTGGACGTTTTTTGTCTGATGAAAACGAAATCTTTACACTCATTAATTCTAAACCTCATTTTCTTAAAGCCTTGCTTGCTTCTTTGTTCAATTTATTTTCACCATCATTTTTAGGATTAGGAAGCACACATCTTATTTCTTTGGGCCACCGCAGAGGACGGGCTCACCATTTACCAGTCACACTGTGCAAATGTGGAAGGAAATCTTTACATAATTATGCTCGAAAATAACCAAAATATTTTGTCCCAAAATACGAAAGATTGTAGAGCTGAAAGGAATCCAAATGCAGAGGAGCTCTCTGTTCTCATTTGCCTAACCGGGACAGAGATTCATGAAGACAAACAATCTCTCTACTCATGTGTCTTTCCTGCCTAAAGACAGAGATATTTTTTTCAGTACTGTGGATTGAAGGTAGCAAAGCAACAAGGGGGACCACAGTTCGCTCTCCCCCTTATATCTTATCCTGGCTGCTAGGGCAGGTGGCACTCACGCCTTTGACCCTTGTGCCCTTGAAGCTAGCTTGTTCTCAAAAGTCCTGCGATGTTAAAGGTAAAAAGCACAATCACAGCGATTACACTAAACAGGACTGTAAGTGTCACCAGCCCAGTAGATAACACTTGGTTCTTCGTTGCTACAGCGTTTTTCACACTGAATTGAAATGACTTGGCCATCTGGCTGTCTTACTGTAAGGGTAAACTGAGGGAGGACTGTGTCCTATTCCTCCTGTAATCCAGGTGAGTGGGCAACCTACAGAGGAGCTCAATAACTATGAAGATTAAAGCAAAGGCTCAGGCTGGGGATTTAGCTCAGCGGCATAAGTGCCTGCCTTGCAAGTGTACAGTCGTGAGTTCGATCCCTGGTACTGGAAAACAGAAAATAAATACATAAAGTGAAGGCTTGAGTCTCTCACTGTCTCTGTGTCTCTCTGTCTCTCCCTGGTTCAACAGAATTTACTTCTATGTTTTCCATTTTCTGTCCCATTTGAAGGCAAAAGATAGTTTGTATTAGTTTCTATAGTACAATACTGTATTTTAAATTTATCCAGTAAAGTAAGATGCAGCACAACTTTTATACAATTTAAATATATTTTTTAAAAAATTCCACAAGAGAAATCAACTCAGCAGGCCCTAGAATTAGCATTTTTCTTAGAATATAACATGTATAATTGCATTAACAGTAGTTTTCAAATATCAAATTACACCAAATTCCTTCTAAAGGTCTGCTTTGCTCGAACCAGTGTGGCCAATTCATTGCTAACTCTGGGACATGAATTTTTGGGAAATGTTTATGGCTTTACTTTCTTTGTTAATCAAAAGCTTTTTATTTTATTTTAATTTTTGGTGGTACCAGGGATCAAACTCATGACCTCACGCTTGCCAGGCAGGCACTTAGGCCACTGAGCTAAATTCCCAGTCCCTCAAAAGCCTTTCAAAGTGCTGGAAGCAGCAGGATGAATTGCATCAGTTCTCTGTTCATGTAGAGGTGCCAATGTAAAATCGCAAAAGGTACAGTTTAACAGTAATAATGCACAAAGAAACTGCAACACGTGGCCTCTGTGCAGAGCTGGACAGAATCAGCTCAGTTTTGTCTATATTTGCTCAATGGTAACTCATACAGGAGCATTAAAATTAAAGCTGGAGATTATAATAGGTATTTAGAATCAAATTTGGGGAACTTTCCTGATAACACAGAAACATGCTCTGCTTAAATTAGAAATGAGGGGCTGGAGGTTTAGCTCAGCGGCGTAAGCGCCTGCCTTGCAAGCAGGCAGTCGTGAGTTCAATCCCCGGTATCGATAAAGACAAAAAAGACAAAAAAAAAAAAAAAAAATCCACAATAAATTAGAAATGAAACCACTGGGCCAGAGATGTAGCTTAGCAGCACAGTGCCTGCCCAGTAGGCACAAGGTCAGTTCAATTCGCAGTACCAAAGAAAGAGAGGGGGGAAAAAAAAAGGGACTCGTCATATTAATCAGTTCTACACAGGTAAAGAAATAAGTGGCAGGTAGGCCAGGAGGAGAACCAAGAACCCACCCCCTTCCTGTGAGCCAGGGGCACACAGGCTAGGAGGAAGGGAGGGCTGAGCTCCCCTCACCCCCTGGTAAGCAGCTGGCTCATTTGGACAAACACAGGTGAGCTAATGCCACTGAAGTAAAAATAACAACTTAATCCCTGTATTGTTTGATTGACTTTGCAGGCCTAAAGCTGGCAGTCTGAGCATCTACCGAGAGGGTAACCATATGCAATACAGTCACTATGGGGGATTTCCTTCTGTCTTCTTTTTGAAATCCAATATTGTCCTTACTGTATTGTTTGGCTCTATTTTAGTGTTTTGTTTTATTCCCTTTAACATAAAAAAAAAAGACAAAAGAAATGTGACAGTCTCTTGCACTGAAATATACATCACACCTATTTTGACATTTTTACATGTATTTACATGAAGTGTTATGTGTTTTAAGTTTTACATATAATATCCCTATAAAAACTTTTAATTGCTTTTCTTCAATTTAAAAATTTGAGGAATTAAAAGGGAAGGTAGTCAAGTACAGTAACCAAGATCCAAAGCTTCTGTAGTTTCCAAATGAAGGATCTTTCTTTCTTTTTTCCCGACACCTTAAAACTTACGGCTCTTAAAATTTTTCATCTTTTCTACATGTGAATGATAATCAACGATGAGAAAAGTCTGAAACTGTCATCTACTGTCCGTCATCCCAGCATTGTTCAGCATTGGCTGAGACGCTTTCCTCATATTCGCATTTGTTTTCCTGATAAAACTGGGCTGACTGGCCCCTGGCTGGATTGTTTGGACTTGGTTTATCCAGAAAGGACTAAACTGATGTTAGGAGATACATTGCATGTCAGACTCTATTAATGCTAAGGGTAGCCAAAGGCATGCTACTATCAGCGTGCACATTCAGATGAAACATTTTGGATAAAAGCCTAACAGTTCACAGCTTATTGGGACATTCTTCCGAAAATTCTGTTACCTTGCTGGGTGGTGGCACTGTAACTGCAGCACTCAGAAGGCTGAGGCAGGAGGACTGCTGTCACTTCAAGGCCAGCCTGGGTTACACAAGCAAGTGCAAAGCCAGCCTGCACTATATAGTAAGACTTTGTCTCAAAAAAAAGAAAAAAAAAGTAGAAGAAAACAAAAGGAAAAAGGAAATTCTATTACCAGTTTGAAAATACCATCTCCTTCCAGGGCATGCTGTTATTTTCAGAGACAGCCCATAATTGCCAGCAATCCCACAGGCCTCCTCTGCACGGGGTTGGCACACTCCTCAGTTGGCCCACAGTTAGTTGGAACGGAGAGTCCCCAGGTCCCAAGCAGCAGCATCCTCCCACCCCCGATCGTGTGGGTCACGAGCAGCCAGGAGTATCAACTTGAGAAGCTTTCGGACCTGCCTGGGGATTAGTAGAACACACTCCTGAATGTGTCTTGGAGGATCACAGAGGTGTGGCCTTGGAGTCCATTGCTGGTCCCTGAGCCTTTCCTTTCCGGCACTGTTCCCCTGCTCTGCTTCTCTGCTGCCATAAATGGAGCATCACTAACACCGTGATGATCCTGCCATCATGGACTGAACCCCCTCAAACCATGAGCCAAACTCAAGGGTTGCTCTGAAAAGAGTATTTAAATTAAAATAATCTTTATAGTAAAAGTCAATTACTATTAATCCCTCCCAGAATACTCCCCTTACTTTCTAACACACTTATCTGATCATTCTTGCCATGTTCTGAAGCAGTTCTGAAAATCCTATTTTTTGTCTTTTTATGGCTACCTCAATGTCCTGAATTAAAAATCTACATCCATTTCAGTCAAATTAGAACAGTCCTGTGTCGTCCTCTACCATATGCACAAAATAGGACACCACACAGGACTTCTGGCTCTGTCCATAAGTCAAAATGACTGCGAATGGCAAAGGTTTTGAATTGCTTTGGAATAGTGAGGCAAACGCCAAGGTGCAGACAGAAATGCCCAAGAAAGAGGACTTGAGGAATGCTTTAGAAAGTGGCAGGAATTAGGAGATGTGTTTGGAGGAGGGGGAGGATTTTGAGAGGAATTAATGGTAGCGTCTTTTACTGTAATCCGTTTAAGTATTGGCCACTGCATCCTCTTCTACCTCTTCCCCTTTCACCTGGGCTGGCCCTGCATCCCCACCACAGGGAAGCTAACAGAGCAAGTTTAGGCAACAGGTGAAACAGGCAGTGGGTGGCTAAGAGGGAAAGGCAAGAGCGCTTTTGAGGGACCCGAGAAGCTTGTCTGCCTGGGGAATCGCACCAAGGAAGCCATTTAAATCGGACCTTACAGATTTAAAGGTGAGAGTCTGACACAGGAAATGTGGGTAGCAAGGTGGTAGGAAATAGGGAAAAGGAAAAAGAGCTGAAAGAGTGCTCGCAAGATTGATTTTCATGTAGCCTCGAGGAAGGCATAGGCATTTTGTCTGTAATTCCTATGGTGATGCTCATGGGCAGTAGTATCACCTCTGTGCTATGGCTTGGGTCTTAAATATCTCTCCAAGGAGTCCTGGTACCCAGCCTGAAGTGCTGGTGGACGTTATGAGGTGGGGAGAAGAGGGAGGCTTTAAGTCAGTCTCTTCCTCTCCGATGCGTCCATCAGGTGACTTCTCTGCTCTCTGTGCTTCCTCATCACACCCAACATCCGGAACTGGACTTCTGAAACTCTGAGGCAAAATCCACCTTCTCTTTAAAATGTTGTCTCAGGTTATTCTGTTACAGAAACAAAAACTACATAACATACTCACATAGTACCCTATTGTTTCTTAGTTGCTTTGGACAATGTACCCTAACTAATAGTTTTGATTCTTCTGTAAATCAATTTATTTTGAAATGTCTACTGAAGATCTGTTAGATAAAACTGCTTTCACAGGAAGCCGATTTTCTTCTCTAAGTATGCTTTCCAGCATTTGCTGCTTGTACCAGTATTACCAAGTTGCCTACATTGGGAGACTCCTGAGAGCTGGCTGGATCTGAGTGGATTAACCCAGTGGTGTTCGCAGCTGTGCTGTCAGGACACTTGGAAGTGGATCCCTGGAAGGGTGTAACTCTCACTGATGCTCTTCCCCTGTGCTGCTTTATGGCCACCAGACCCTTCTGCCATGATGTCCCTAGCTTGAGGCTGTCCGATATGGACTAAAACCTCTGAAAAAGTAACCCAAATAAGCCATATCCTCCTGCAAGCCTGGATGTCAGGTTTTGGTCCCAGTATTAAATACCCAAGTGTTTGTACCAGCATAACACCCAGGAAACTGCATGTATATGACCTACCACCTTGTCCTTTCCAGCCTGGTCCTGGCAGAATGGCCCCACAGAAGGCTGGCAAGAGCAACAGTCCTTGTGCCATTAAGGAGGGTGTGACCCAAGACTGTATCATCACCATTCATGGACACAGGAATGGAGCAGGCCATGGAGCAGGCCTCGATCCTGAGCGTGCCCGGGACACCCAGAGATCTGAAGATCTGCCACAAAGGAGGCGGAAACTTCAGACACACATCAGTGCCAAAGCTCCCTGGCCACAGGAAGAAGGAATGGCCCATGTGGTAGTCACGAGCTACTGCCCAGAAAAGGCAGTGAGGACGAAGATGCCCCACACAAGCTCTGTGCCCTGGTCATCCATGTTCTTCTTAGTGCTTCTGAAAATCTCCATGTGAATGAGGACTAAGCAGTGGGTATCAAACAAGTTAAGATGAGCCACAATAAATAAAATTCACCATCTTGACCGTTTGTAAGTGCACATCCCAGTGGCTTTGGGTATGTTCATACGGCTGAACAACTCTGCCATCTCAACTGTGGAAGTTTTTACAAGGAAGATCTTTTAAATGGAAAAACTTAAAAGTACTACTGCACACCCGAAAAGTCAGATATTTTCCATAAAGCCATTTGTATTTTAAATATGTGACTATTCAGGATAGAACTTCAGAAGCAGTTTAGAAATTAAATTTTTTTGGCCTGGTAGTTACAATGATTAAAAAGATCACAGTGAAAACCTTGTATATTTGTAGAGAAATAATTGAAAGTATCAAAAATTCAGTTTTACAAGCTCTGAAGAGATTCTGGAGAGTGTAACTACACTGATACTGCCGCTCATGAACTTAATTTGTTCCAGAATTCTGGAAAAGATGGCCCTGACTGTGTCTGGGAAAGGTGGCTTTGGTCATGTTCGTCACCAACGTTCAGTTTGCAAACAAAAACAAAATTCTGCCAAACGCCTGTTTGTGAGCCAAACTGTTTGCAAACCGATGTGTTCCTGAACGGAGGCACCACTGTCAATGTGCTGCACGGCCTGGGTAAACCCTGTGGCAAGAAAACACAGTGCGGAGGACCGAACTTCCGCCTCAGGATGGGGCGTGGCCCGGGCCTGTGAGTTCCCCTTCCTAGGAGCAATGGCTTTGGTTCCGATGGTGGCTCTGTTCAGTGGGGTACTGGGGACATGGCAGAGACCCCCAAGTGCCTGCGTGAATACTGCCAAGGGATGAATCAGAGACAGCCATCTGTAGTGGGGCTGGGGCTCAGTGCCTCAGGACCCGCAGAGACCCAGACAGGCTGAGCTCTCCACCAGTTATTACCCAGTGCAGGATGTTCTTCCTGCAACAGCCTAGAGGCTGTGGACAAGTTAACATCACCAAGGAAACAAGTCAGGGTCCATCCCCACCCTTGGGTGCTCATCTCATTGACTAGAGAAAGGCGATTCCAGCGTTCCCAAACCTGGCCCAGAAGGCAGGCAGGGCAAGGAAAGCCTAGGACAGAAACTGTGTCAGTTTACAATTCTGGGTCCCCAAAAGGGGAAAGGCAAGAAGCATCAAGTATCATTTTCCTCATCTCCTGCCAGGCCTTGGCTAACAGAACAGCAGCACAGGGACAGAATCAGAACCCAGCTGACTTTCAAAACCCAACCCAAACCCCCCCATCAAATTCACGACTCTGCACTTATGCCACTGAGTTAAATCCCCAGCCCCACAGCTCAGGTTCTTAATCCGAACCTTTCTTTCTCTCAAATGCTGCCCTCCCCGCAGGTGACTTGGCCCGGCGACTCCTGGCTTTGAAGCTCTTCCCGGAGTAGATGCTGCAGCTTGGGAAACAGTTTCAGCGCGTTCTGTGTGGTCACTTGGATGACTTCTTCCACGGAGACCCCTTTCACCTGAGCAATGTATTCTGCAGACATGGAAAGGTTGCAGGGCTCATTTCGTACCTGAAACAGAACACAGCAGACACTAATTCCAATGTGACGCTCAAGAAAAGGGTCCTGGAGACCATGGAGAGCGTAGATGAAAATGACCGATGATGAGCTCCTGCTGGAGACCTTTTCCACAGCACCCATCATCAGGGATCCGGTAGTAAGTGTTAAGGCACATGGTGAGAACGAAGAGCAGGAGACAAAACAGTGGTGCAGCTGGGATCAGGGGTGACTGCTGCTCTTGGGGAACAAAAGGCCACGAGGCGGCCAGAACCGCGACACTGACTGATTACGTGGAACACGGTGGGTGAGAGGCAGTGAGCATTTCCAGGAACAGTAACGGCAGCTACGGCGGGGAAGCATGAACAGAGCACTCCTGTAAGGAGGAGACAGGGACAGCAAGGAAACTGTGCTTCCCAGGTGCCTCGTCATCTGCAGCAGGCCTCGTCTCACCTGGTAAGCTCCTTACACAGGACATACGTTGTTTTTCTCAGCTTCTCACACTAGTGAGACAATGTGATGTTTACACATGTGTGTCTGATTTATTTCACTTATAAGTATGGTCTCAAGTTGTATCCACTTACCTATAAAAGTCTTAATTTATCCTTCTTTATGACTGAGTAGTCCTCCATTGTATAAAAATACCATATCTTTTTATTTATGCCTCAGTTGATGGGCATTTAGGTTGTTTCCAAGATCTAGCTATTACAAATTGTGCTGCTGTAAACATGGGCGCACACATATCAATGTGGTATGTTTTTAATTCTTTTTTTTTTGTTTGTTTGTCTTTTTCCTTTTTATCGGTACCAGGGATCGAACTCACGACTGCCTGCTTGCAAGGCAGGCACTTATGCTGCTGAGCTAAATCCCCAGCCCCGATGTTTTTAATTCTTTTGGGAAGACACTCAGGATGAGAATAGCTAGGCTGAATGGAACCTCTAATCCTAGTTTTTTGAGGGCTCTCCACACTGATTTCCACAGTGGTTACACCAGTCTACATTGCCACCGACAGTGGAGAAGGGTTCCTTTTTCCCCACATCCCTCCTGCATTTGTTATTGCTTGATTTCTTGATAATAGTCATTCTTCCTAGGGTCAGTGGAATCTCAGTGTTGTTTTAATTTGCATCTCTTGAATGACCAGTGATGCTGAACATTTTTTCATGTGTTTATTTGCTGTTTGTATTTCTTCATCTGAGAAGTGTTAAAAATTTATTTATTCAATACAGGTTTATCACCTACTTTGCACAAGACACTATGCCACAAGCTCACAGTTCTTTCTGACAGCTAGATACAGACTGAAAGCCAGAGTTACAGCAGCATTCAAGTTACTCTTGTTTAGAGACAGTAGTAGGTCCCTTTTGTTCTGTTTCACACTAATCGAGATAATTCTATGCCAGTCGATGCTCAAACACGAAACAGCGGAGTTATGAACCTTTCTCATTCCTCTTTTTACATTCTTTTTTTTTTTGAGACAGGGTCTTGTTATGCAGTTCAGGCTGGTCTCAAACTTCCAGTGATCCTCCTGCCTCAGCCTCCCAAGTGCTAGGATTACAGGCATGTGCCACCATTCCCTGCTGTCTTTTACATTTTTTTTGGTACCGGGATTGAACTCAGAACCTCACACTTGCCAGGCAGGCACTTACACTGCTGAGCTAAATCCCTGGCCCTCTTTTATGTTCTTATAAAAGCTTATTTTATTTTATTTTATTTGGTACTGGGGATCGAACTCATGACCTTGTGCTTGCCAGGCAGGCATTTATGCTGTCGAGCTAAATCCCCCGCCCCTAAAAGCTGATTTTAAAAAGGTATAATTATTTGGATATTATTATCACATTGAAATCACAAATAATCATAGTTTATTAATAATCACATAATAACCTCTATTGCTTCTAAACCTCTGAATTTTGAGTGCAAGCTGTCTGAATTTGGCAGATATGGAGACTCTGGGAACTACTAAAGGAGGTACCTGCCATACACACTATCTGAAATACTATAGATACTGAGGTTTCCCTTCAAAATGTTATAATTTAAAATAGTAGCAATATGAAAGAGTATATGAAACTTAAACTGTAATACTGTATGGCTTATACTACAATAAAATACTACAGCAAAGATAGCGAAAAGAATTTATGATTATATCAGTATTTGTACTGAAAGAAAACTTCACTATAACATGCTAATTAAAATGAGCATTTATTGATCACCTACTGTATACCAGCCACTGCTATGCACTTTCACATGCATCACATCATGTAATCTTTAAAGCATTTTATTATTTAACTCATATTTCATAAAGGGAAGAACAGTCTCAGAGAGATTTACTTTAGTTAAAATCAACTAGTGGGTAAGAAACAGTTGAAATCTTTCTTCAGATACTGTACTTTTTCTAGGCTCTAATTATTACATAAACTAGGATGTGTTCCTTATCAAATATCAAATTATATTCTCTGCAGCACAATAGTTATATTTAAGAGAAAAGATTAAATATTAGCCCTCAATCCAGCTTTATGATTCCACTGTATTTACACTGTACTGTGTAGGGAAACCCAGATAACTGAAAATACCTCAAATAAAAGATACAGTCTAAATAAGATAGATATTAAAAATCACACACCTGTTTTTCTGGTCCTAGTGCAGGTGAATCTGTTTCTAAGCAGATAGATGTCAAAGGTAACTGTCTCACAAGTTTCTGCTTCTTGGGGCAAAGAGAAATCTGGTAAGTTTAAAACGTGAAAACACAAGAACCTATATGATAATGCATTTTATTCCACAAGACTCTTAACATTTATGTTTCATACTCACTTGACTAATGATACCCAGGTGCCTGCTATATTCCCATCATTCCACTATTAACAGTTACATTAAAATATAAACACTCCATGCCAAAAATTATCCACAGCTTCCATTGAGCCAAAAAATAGTAACCACAGCAAAAATGAAGTACACCCAGCAAGAAATCCAAACATCTGGTGTCAGACACCCACCCAAAGATCCACAGAAAAGCTCTGTTATTCCCTACCTCCGCTTCACTCAATTTCTTTCTACCTTTCTCCTTAAGTCACTCAAAGTCTTATGAATATAAATCTAAAGACACTTTGCACCTCTCAGTTTTAGACCGGGTAGTGGATGCTGCTGCTTCTTGTTTTATAATTGCTTTTTTTTGTTTTGTTTTTTAGTACCAAGCATTGAACTCATGACCTCATTACGCTTGCCAGGCAGGTGCTACACCACTGAGCTAAATCCCTGGCCTCTCTTGTTTTATAATTCTTAAAGTATGGGTTGTCAGGACTGTGGTGAGCTCAGTAAGTTTTATGCTGAGAATACAACTGTTTTGCTGACACTGCATTTGATGAAATGGGAAGCGGATGTGTGACACATAGACGATGGATAAAATAAATGATTTAAGATATTTTAAAGTGCCAGGAGTACAGTTGTGCCTAACATTCCCAGACTGTTTTCTTACAAAAAATACCTACTTAAATCCTTTTGCCCATTTTAATCAAGCTTATGTCTTTGTTTTCTTTTTTTTTTTTTTTTTGTCTTTTTTGAGACGGGGTCTCACTATGCAGTTCAGGCTGGCCTTGAGCTCACTTTGTAGCTCAGTTTGGTCTCGAACTCACAACGATCCTCCCACCGCAGCCTCCCGAGTGCTAGGATTACAGGCATGAGCCACCACGCCCGCTATGTCTTTGTTTGCTTACAGTTGAATTATAATGATGCTTTATGTGTTCTGAATACTTGGCCCTTATTGAGTACATGATTTGAATATTTTTTTCTCTTTCTGTGGGTTGGCTTTTCACATTACTGACAGTGTATACTGAAGTAGAAATCTTTTTATTATTAAATTTAGATGATACCCGACTTACCTATGTTTTTCTTTGCCTGCTTGGGCTTTGGTGTCATATCTAGGAAACTACTGCCTAATCTAAGATCAAAAACTGTAGACTCATTTTCTTCTGAGAGTTTTTTAATTTTAGCTCTTACATTTTTAGGTACATTTTTCAGTTAATGTGTGTGGGACAGTGACCCAAGATGACTTGTTCAAATGAAACTAGAACAGTAGTATCGCAAGTATGTTGACAAAGCTTATTTTAAACTGTGTTTCTCAAAGTGTTAGCTGTGCTTTAATGAAAGAACCTACCTGCCCACTCCTTATGACAGATGGTGGAATTGAGAAGAAGTACCCAGCTCTCACGCCCTCCATGGCTACAGACGGCCGACCGTCAAATGCATGCAGCAGGACCTTGTCAGCATCTCCGAAAATCCAAGAGAAATCAGAGTTCATTTCATTTCCTTAATAAAAGGCTGCCCCGTCACTCAAACTGAACAAGCACAAATCTGACATTTTAAATAAATGTTGGACATGATGATAAAAATGAGATTCTATGATAAGCATCACAGAGATAGATGATACATTTTTCAATGAGTAGAATAAAAATAAAATTCTTTTTTGGAGGATGAGGTTTCATGAATCAAATTCAGGACCTCATGCTTGCCAGGCAGGCACTGCGCCACTGAACTAAATCCTTGGTCCCTAAAAATAAATTCTTAACCTTTGAAATAAAAATTATTAAGTATAATTCAAATGCAAATTTTGAAACTATTCCTTAAATTTCCTCATTAGATCTCTTCTAGAAATCTGTGAACTTGTCATGATTGTCCTATTAAGAAATTTTTAGGCAAATTGATTTTCCCAACAAAAATGCTAGTGGAAGAAGAAATGGAAGACTAAATGACTCATGAATTAAGAAGCCAGAGTTGGCTTCAAAGGACCAACTCCAGTTCTGACAGGATGGTTGCTCGCCCTGCACAGTGCTTTCTAGCTGCAGGTGATTATCTTTACTTTATTATTTACAGTGTTTTTTTCAAGTGGTAAGTGTGACAAAGAGTGAGTTATAATACTGAGTTAGGAAACCAAATTAGGAGCAATGTGTGCATAAAAGCAACCAATGTGTGCCTTTATCTACCCATATTCCTATACACAGACACACAACTAAACACTGCATAAAACTCCACTCCATTTTATTTATGTGTGTGTGTCTCAAATGTATTTCTACTGTGGATGAATAATGCTGTAAGACACACTGTGCTTTAGGAACAACTGGTGAAGATGACAGCGCATTTTATACGTGATGGCCACAACCTGTCGGATGCCATTTTCTAAAGGAACGACCAGGAAACAGGCTAAACAGTGGCCCGGTGTGACTGCCCTTAGCTGCCTAGTTTTTTCTTTTTCTTTAATCAAGGTGATTAGGAAATAAGAGCTGCTAATTTTTAAGTATTGTAATCCCTTTTCCAGACTTCCTCATAAGCCAGAAAGTTGTATTTGTAATCCCACTGAGACGTTATTGGAATCCCAGCAGGTTAATTCCAATCTAGCACCACAACGCAACCCACGGAGAGAATAAAAACCCCAAGACCCATTAAGGGAAAGGCAGCCAAAGGGCCCTAAGCCCTACCCCGTGAGGATGTGTGCACAGAGGCCCCACCCAAGGCCTCTGCCAGAATTTATTATCCTGTGAAGAAAGGGATGCTTGGAGGATGAATAATAGTGAGGACGGTGGGAACTCTGTGAGTAACTTGAGCTGGCCAGCCAGGTAGGAAAAAAGCATCTTTGTAAAATGCCGGGAGAAAGACACTGCAGAAGGATCAATCTGTGTAACTCAGTTGGGTAGCGTCTGAATGACTCAGGAGGCAGTTCTCCGGTTTCCCATATGTAAACTTTTGTGCCCTGGGGACTCATAGCCTCTTTACCTTAAGGCTCAGACACAGTTGACATTCTCGAGGCTGACTGGCTCTACCAGTCACATATTTTACAGAGAGCACTATGTGAGGAAACAGGAGACTGCCTGATGGCTTTAGAGATTACATACCAGTACCTGGCCAGCCTTATTTGCAATGCTTCGAGCAAAGTGAAGAGAGAAGGAAATACCATAATCCCTCTGTGCATATCACTACATGGAAATAAGCCTTGATAGAATCAATGTTGCAAGGATGGTTCTGTATTCATGGGGAGTGGCAACAATTGTCTCCCACATTAAGGACTCTAAACTGGTTCATTTTACTTGCTCTGGCCTCACCTGATAAAAGACCGCAATTATGAGGACTTAGTGAAAATAGCCGGATTTGCAAAACCACCTCAGTATTTCCACCTCCACTCTGGCCCAATTGCTTTGCCTTTAACTAATCAAATTAAAACATGGTTTGCTCCATGAGAACACACTGGCACTGTCAAACTTAAACACCACTCATTTCTTTCAGGAGCCTAAATACCTTGCTCACGTAGGAGGTTGATGGTAGGTCTCCCAGCAGAGCGTGAATGAACATTTCTGTTTAAGAAGAAAATTCCTTTTAATATTTTTAACGCTTTAAGTCTTATCTTTTGTTCTATAAAATAATTCAGACCAAAAAATGATGTACAGTTCCATTTTAGGATGTAGAATATTATTTAACTTGGTCTGCAGCTATTATCATAAAAAATTATTAATTAACTTACAAAGGCAAATTTAGTCGTTTGGCTAACTGGATCTGTCTGATTAGGACTTGTCTTTGTTCTTCCTTCTGTTCATCAGTGCCAGCAAATCTGGGAGAGAAATCTAGTCCAACCTATAGCAGGAAAATAAAACAGTTACATACTTAACGGTTTAATGAGGCCCAAAAGAAATGCTATGAATCAGTGCTGTAGCCACATGAAAAATATTAACAAAAATAGGTGGAATTAATAATATTCTTTAACCCAATGGATTAAAAACATTACTCTAACATATAATCAATGTAAAAAATGAGTTATTTATGTATGTGTATTCACACAAACTTCTGCATTTTTTTGTTTTATACTGAAGCTTAGGTTGTGTGATTTTGGGGGGAGGGGTTGATCTGGTGTTTTGAGACAGGGTTTCACTGTATAGATTGGGCTGGCTTTGAACACACTATGTAGTTCAGGCTGGCTTTGAACCTGCAGCAATCCTCCTACCTGGAAGAACTGGGATTGGTGGCATGCACCACCATGCCAGGCTTCCTTATCTTTTATGTTAAAAAGAAATGAAATTTATTACCGGGTGATACATTACCATTACTAATTATTTAATATGCTGTTCAAAGTATGCTTTTAAATTATTTATAAGTGTTACACATACTATTTTAACTCACCAGATATTTAAGCAAGAATATTTAAGCAATAATTAAGCAGAAACGACATTATTTAGCAATACAATTAGCGTAGTTTTTTCCCATGAAGATAAGCTTATCTAGAAGACTTGGCATTGTTTTATCTTCACACACTCCTGTTTACTGAGGAAGCATCAACAAATTAGTACTCTGCTGCACAGGGTGAATGTAATCATCCAAGCCAGTTACAATCACCAACACTGAACTAAGGATCATATAGAGGTCTGTTGTTTGGTCTGCTAATGGGTCTTTACCTCTCCAATTGCCAGCAACTGATCCTTGTAATTTTCAATAATAGGCAAAGCTGCATCCAGATCCTAAAGAAAAAAAGTAAATTTGTTACTATGGAAGAAAGCAATTAAAATTTCACAAGTACCCATAATGGGCCAAGCTCTATACTCAGGTTACAAGAATATGAGTTTTTAATGAAGATTGCCACTGACACACTGCCTCCTGTTTAGGGGGAGGCAGGCAGTTAGGAGGCCTGCCTCGGCTTTCCTGGAATAGCTCAGAAAGAGTAAACTGATGTGGGTTTCCTGGAATAGGAGAGAAAAGTGAGCCACCATGTGGTCATCTCTGTATATGAACTTCTGGCATTATATTGTATCATTTTCTCTCCCTAGGGTACCACTGGTTTATAACTTTCTAACAGTGATAATCCAGCACAGTACTTCCTTTGCTGTCTTTTGTCTTTATAGTCTTACAATATTGGCTTGCCTGTTAACTACCAAAGTAGCTGTGTTACCTGAGTTTCAATGGCACTACCTTTTCCATTTAAGAGAAGGTGCTGTGTGGGTGGTTCCCTTCTAAGGTAAGGAAAACTTTCCAGATAGCTTTTAAACTACTTTATGGATTTCAGTTTGGGACATGTAAATTGCAAAGTACTTCTGATGATAATGAGAATAACAGAGAATTAAGAAAAGGGAAATAAAACAGATAATTAGAGGGACAGGAGGAAGGGAGGGTGGGGTAGGCAGGGAAGTAGAGGGAGAGGGAGGGAGAGGAAGATGGAAAGAGAGAGACCTCAGAAATATATTCTAGTGGACTTGATGAAGAATTAGCATTGTTGTGGCCGGGGATATGGCTCAGCAGCAAGCACCTGCCTGGCCAGTGCAAAGTTGTGAGTTTGATTCCTGGAACCAAAGGGGGAAAAGTAAAAGAAAAAGAAAACAAATTAACACTGTCACAAGAAGCAATGGGTATATAACCGTGGATATCAGAGAAGCTGCCTGACAACCAGCTGGATGGGTAAAAATCATGTCAGACAGGCTTTTCCAAATCAAATATCCAAACTACTCCCTATCTCTCAGATCTGGAGAAGTGCATCTAGTCTTTATCAATTATTTTAGTAGCTGTAAAAATACTAATAAGGATACTCATATCCATTTCTTATTTGTTTGTTTGAGACAGGGTCTTGCACATAGTCTTGAGTTCATTGAATAGCCCAGGTTGGTTTTGAACTCGCAGGGATCCTCCTGCCTCAGCCTTCCTAGTGCTAGAATTACAGGCATGTTCCATCTCACCTAACCACACAGGTCTATATCTGACCTCATTTCTGTTTCCAGTTCCCTATTCCCACATGGTCTCGAGTTCCTTAACAGATAGTGGTTCTATTATAGGTTTCTAAAACAACATTCCTTTTCCCGTATCCTATGCGTGGAGAGTAATAAAACTATTTAATTATTAAACATTTATAAATGAGGAAATTGAGACCTTGCCACAGATCATTGAAGTTAATAAGCCAGGTCTCTCTGGCTTCAAAGTGCTGCTGAAAGAAGAAGGGAGCAGAAAAATGGGGAGTCAAGAGGGAAGAAAAACTCTGCGTTCACTGGAGAGAGAGATTTATGCCTGTATTGTTTGGATAATTGAATGCAGATGTCTTGTGCTCTGGGTGAACGATTTGGGGATGGTAATGCACAGTGTACTACTGCTATCCCCTGACTGACATGTTTTGAAATTTTGTTGTGGTTTTTCCCCCCCTTTTCTTCTTTTTATCCTTGAATACAATGGATTTGAAAAAGAAAGAAGGAAGAAAAGAAGGAAGAATGCGAAGAAGGAAATAGGACAAAAGGGAAGGAGGAAAGAGATTTATTCTGAATGATCTTTAATTACAAATCTTTTCAACTTTGGTACAGGGGTCAGGCGTTTAACAGGAACAAGTGGGGTGTGACAAGTGTAGCAGTGACTGATGTACGGGTGACACACTGTGTCAACTTGAGAAGTTTTGAAGCTTAACTCAGTGATTCAGCAGAGGTCCAGGGTCCTCACTTTGTAAATCTCAGCCTGTGCAACAGGACGGCAGGGAGACAGTGAGGGTGACAAGGACCCACCCTAGGCGGGGGCAGCCTGCTACAGCATAAAGGAGGAAAAGAGGCTTGCTCTTTTTTGCTCCTACTGCTTTTGCTGTCTTCTGCCACCTCGAATTGTCACCCCTGTGCACGCCACCCTGCTTTGGAGCCAGCTGATTACGGACTGAAACCTCCACAAACTCTGAGCTAAACAAACCTTTCTTTCCTTCATTTTGGGCATTGGGTATTTTGTCTCAGTAATGAGAGAAAAGCAACCAACACACTGGAGCACACAGGCCCCTCCTGTGACCAGGGAACTGAGGTGCACCAGGGAGTCTGCTGCCTGTGCTGGGCCGGGAATAATAGCTACTGACTGGGTGAGAGTTCGGGACACAGCAACTGGGCTGAAAAGCAGAGAAGACTTGCTGTCTTTTTTTCCCCCTTGGCTTTCTAATTATTAGCTGTGCAGAAACTCCATGCAAGCTTGTGGTTTCAAATCTTGAGAGAATGTAATACGCTCCAAATGTCCCGATAAAGTCCACTGCCCCTGCAAAGTCCAGACCATGGGTAAAGGGTAAAAAAAACCTGAAGGCTTCAACACAAACTAAATGGAAACGTCCACCTCGGGAGTAGACAAGGACCTTCGTCTCTGCAGAGGAGGCCAACATGGCCCATTTTATCTGGGCAGGAACGATGACCTCTAAGGAAGGAGAGCACGTTCCTCGGAAGACCCAGTTCACATAAATGTCACCTACAGGCGTGGTCAGCGCAACTGTCTTTTTGGCACTTGCCCACCTTCATGCTTGAAGCTGTACTCTTTCTCACTCTGACAATCTATCACTGCACAATAAACTCTACCTCTACTCCACATGTCAGTCTATGTATCTTACTTAAAATCAGACACAAAGAATCAAGGTGTCTGGTCCGTTCTTTGCAATTTTGGGACCTCACCATGCTAGCACCCATCTTCCCAATAGCACTATCTTGAGGTTTCCTTTTTGTGTAAGTGTGGGCTGTCTGCTCCATCTAGATTCTTGATTTCCAGAGAGGGCTCTCTCTCCAGTGCTGAGAACAGTGGCTGGCACAGAGTAGATGCTCAGTAAACACCAGCTGACTAAATAATGAATGCCAATGGCATAAACATCCACATCAACAGTACAGGTCCTGCAAAGCACATAGGGTGCTTCTGCTGATTCTCAAAACTTCAGGGATTATACCTCTGTGGCAATACCATTAATTGTATCACACTCAACAACTCAGGAGAACAACAGGACAAGGGTTTTTCCCTGAAGTGATTACAACTTTTGTTTTGAAATAAGCAGAACTGGCCAGACATGATGACATATGCCTGGAATCTCAGCCCTCTGGGAGGCTGATGCAGGATTACAAACTCAAGCCCAGCCTGGGCAACTTAGCAACTAGTGAGCCCATATATCAAAATAAAAGATAAAAAAGGGCCGGGGATGTAGCTCAGTGAGAAGGCCCCAGATTCAACCCCTAGATCCAAAGCAAACAATCAAACAAACAAACAGGTAAACACAGAGCAGTGCCAGCTACCTGCAGGGGAGGACAGAAACACATCATTATAAAAGATAATGGCCTGGATCTTCATTTATTCATAGGTAACAGAGTAATTACATCTTTGGAATGGGACTATCAATTCCCATAATATTATGTAATAAAGCACCCCAGAAACTGAGCATCCTTGTGGTGTTAAGTCAGGACATGAGCGTGAAACACAAGCCACATTAATGGCTGTGAGTCACTGAGATGGTACAGGGACTGTGTTTAGAGTGCATAAATACAATGTAATTTGGTAGATCCAGAGCTCTCCTGCGGGGATGCCCCCACCTTCAGAGAAGAGACCACGGACTTGAACTCACCCGTCCTGTTATTACAGAGCATCTACAAATCCATACCTTTCTTTTCCTAATTGATCCCTTTTTTTTTTTTTTTTTGCAAAAGCAGTAAGACTACAGGACAAAAAACTGTGGAAAATGTCACCTAAAATTCCAATAAATCATGATAATTATGATCATTTCTGTTTTTTCTTTCCAGTCTTTCCCTTTAAGAACTATGTTTTTTACACTTTTAATCCCTATTATGATAAACATTGTGTATAAATGCCTTCTATTTAACACTACAAGTTAGCTAGCGATTCCTTTATTTCTGATGTCCTAAGCTGTTGCCATTTTTCTCTATTACAGATAATGTTGCAAACTGTAAAAGAAGGTAGTACTTTTTGGGGGTGATTTTCTTAGATTATAAATGAGAAACAGGAGGATTGCTAGGCCAAAAATTACCATTTTTTTTTAATGGTTTTTGGTTTATCTGTTACCTTCAATGTGACACTTCTTTGGTCTTCTAGTGAAAGCCCTTGTACGGGGTGAACACCTAAGCAGGGGAAGATGAAGCCGCTGTACCTAAAAGTGGAGAAAAAAATTAAGAGGAATAACCAACGAGGAGACTATGATGTCATTCTGAAGAATAAGCAAAAATAATCTCTTTCTAGGCCATGTTAATAGAACTTACTGTCTTTAAAGTAGGTCTCTGATATTATAAATCTTTTTTTTTTTTGGGGTATCGGGGATTGAACTCACAAACCTTGTGCTTACCAGGGAAGCACTTAAGTCACTGAACTAAATCCCCAGCCCCTGATATTATAAATCTAACATCATAACCATGTTCTTATTAGCAACTCTTTAAAAATTCAACTAAAAGCAGCACCTTTTGGAAAGCTGAATAATCTTTTCAAATTCTCCTGAATGTTCAGCAACTGCCACAATGGCCACAATATTAGCCTGAAAAAAAATACACATAGTTAAGAGTCTCAGATAACACAGTTAATATTACCACACTTAATCTACATAAACCCACGAGTTAGGGTTAGAATGTAATCAAACAACTTCCCCAAGACCATTAGGCTTATGTGACTCCTAAGTCCATAGGTCTAATTAACCTAAAAGTTGCTCTGTGTAAAAATGTATTCACAACAATTTCTGGCTGTATACATCAATTTCTGAGAAGTCTACAAAATGCTAGCTGCAATAGATTTCATAAGCACTTCCAAAAATTAATAATTTTTCCTAATGAATCAAAATGTTTCAGAAAACATGAATAGCAGGCCCCATTTCTCCAGAATACTATGAATTTAAGGACTAACAGAGGGACCAATTTGTACCATAATGCTGACAACCAGGTTGGCCTCAGGAATACACTTGGAATCTGGATGCTGCCTCTATCACTTCCCTAGAGTGTGTCTTCAGATCTGTCATTAATCTGCTGGCCTTAGCCTCCTAATGGGGGTGGCTGTGGCTACCTCAGAAGACTGTGAAGTACTAAATGAAGTAGTTTAGAAAGAGCTTAGCTCAGCACTTAGCACATGGTAAACACTTAGTAAATGCTTTTTTTTTTTTTTTTTTTTTTTGGTACCTAGGATGGAACTCACAACCTCACATATACCAGGCAAGTGCTTGAGCTGCTGCGCTAAACCCCAGCCACCATAACTTACTATTAACTATGGAAGCAACATCACCATAGAATATATAAACACTGCACATCTAAACAACACAGTATGCCAAACTAAGACAACTTAATGTTGGTAGGAAAAACAAAAAAGGGGCCACTATAGGTACTGATTTACCTTCTTGGCTTTCTCCAATACATCATCCAGATCCTAAAGTAAGCAAAAGTAATCACCATTATTATTGTTTTTCTTGGTACTGGGGATGGAACTCATGATTTGATGCTTGCCAGGCAGGTGCTTATGCTGCTGAGCTATACTCCCAGCCCCAATCACCATTATTTTACATGAGTAAGTAATTGCTCTCTGGGTACATATATCAATGCAACTGAGATACCAAGAATGACAGTGTTATCAAGGAATGGAGTGGGGTGGAAGCAAAAGCCTAAGCTGATCTATTTCCTATGTCTTATTTTCAGTAAGGGCTGGCTTCTTTTCCCACTGCACTAAACAGAAACTTCTATTGTCATATATAAACGACATTTTCCTGCCCCCCCCCACCCCTCATTTGCCTACTTTTTAAATATTTTCCATTCTTGACTTTCCTTCTTTTTTTAGTTTGTCTTTTTGGGACAAGGTCTCACTATGCAGTTCAGGGTGGCCTTTAGCTCACTTTGTAGCTCAGACTGATCTCAAACTCTTAACAATCCTCCTGCCTCAGCCTCTGAGTGCTGGTACAGACGTGCCCCATCACGCGTGCACCATCACGCCTGGCTTCCTCTTATCTATATATCGCAACCCTTCTAACTGATTTAGCTTCCACTCTCCTCCATTTATTTGCGACAGAGAGGTAAATCAGTCTTCACAGGGGTATTCATATGGGTATCCGATGTTGTGTTTCATTTAAAATCGTCACGTTGAATGGATCAAATCTGTGTTTCTTAAGCAATCCCAATTCCTTGCTGACCTATCCCACTGATCTCCCCCCAGCCTGGCTTTCCCGAAAAGGTCGCCAGTCCTGTTTCCCTCCTCCTCCCAGCTCGGCTGGCTCCACCAGCCTTTTGGTAACAGGAATGGGCCTGCTTCCCTCATCACCGTAATTCACCTCCTTGCTTAGGTGCCTCTGTCTTCCCAGCCTTAAATTCATCTCTTAAGAAAGGTTTTCCCAGAAACTACACGTCTACTCTGCCTTCTCTATTTTAGCGTTTAGTTTCCAATCAAGCGTGTAAACCGGTGTGTATGCGCGCGCGCGTTTTTTCTGCTCGCCTCTCTATCCATCAGGACTGGGGAGCCCGACCCCGGGGCAGTGGAAGGAAGGACTGCAGGAGCCAGGAGCGGCCACCATAAGCTTCGTGGAGACGGATGCTTTACCCGGTCAGGGAGAAAACTCCTTGTGGCTGAGGTTAAATAAGAAATCCGGCGGGTTGCAAAGGGCAATAGACAAGGGCCTGAGAAGAATGTGGGGCTTCGTGCAAAAGGAGAAAAGAAAATCTGTAGGGAAAAGATGGGATCTCCCCACTCCGTTAACTCCCGCCGCGCGCTCACATACGCCGTCAAAGTCCGGGTCCGAGAGGTGGCAGTGACAATCCACCAGCCCCGCTGCCGCAGCCCCCATGGAACCCTGGAACGCTCCCGCGGTGGCGCAGCAAGTTTCCCGCCGGAAGCATAGCTCGCTGCACCCGCGAGAACACGCCCTTCCGCTCCAGAGTCCCCGCCTTCATTTAACCGGGAAAAAAATGGCGGGGTTTTCTGAATCAGTGGTCATCACTCCTCGGCTGGACGAGGCGTTAGCACCAGGAACAAACAGCCAGGCCTCCGGCCTCACCGCTCCAGAAGAAGATTTCCGAGTGCGCTGTACCTCGAAGCAGGCCGTGCTGGAAATTCTAGGTCTGTGCGGCCGCTTCGTGCAAAACCTCGGAGACGCGTTGCCAGAGGAGATTCGGGAGGCCGCGCTGCGGGATGTGCAGTGGGTGAGCCGCCTCTTCATTTGTCACCTCCCTTACCCCCCAGCCCGAGACCCGGGCCTCGGCAGAGTTAGCAGTATCCCGGGCTGTTAGAGAAGCAACCGGAGAATCGCTAGGGGGAGGAGACGTTGGTGTCAGCTGTGCGCGCCCCTGTACTTAGACTAGTGCCGTGGGGTGGAAGTTCACCGCGAGCATCAAAAGCAAGAGAGGCGAAATTAGCTGAAATGAAGTGTTTTCTTTAATCCTGTCTATCCAGTGTACCATTTTGACCTATAGAATAATGTATAAACGGATGACCTATTTTTACATTCTTTTTTCGCGCCGAGCTTTTAAAACCTGGCGTCGTGGTTGCGGCACATCTCCTTTTGAGTGAACCCGTATTTTAAACCTTGGCTAAGTAGCCAGTGGCTGCTGAGTTGGACAGCAATGGGCATATAGACTTTCTGAGGGATTCTGGAATGGATAATCCTGGAGGTCAGTCACCCAGCAGCTTTTGGTCTTTCGTTGGGCCAGTTTTAGAATATCTCATAGGGTAGAATAAGGATATTTTCCTTCTTAGTTTAAAATAGGTGAAAAAGCTGTCTTGATTGTAAACTTCACATTTTGACTTTTATAAAACGTTTCCTCTTCCTTTCTCAAATAGTTTGAAGCTGATAGTTTTGGGGGAAAGACACTAGAAAGTGAGGGACTGAAGGAAGCACACAATCTATATGCAGTGGGAAAAGTTTAAAAGCTATATACACTCTGGGTTGTAATTCCAGTTCCAGTTGTGAATACAATGACTCACTTTGATCCCTCCTGGCAAGCAAAGCAGGAATATACATATGCCTCAGGATATTTTTAGTAGGTTTTTTTGGAGGAAGGACTGCAAGATTAGGATTTGTTGGATTTTAGGTACTGTACTTAAGCCATAACAAAAAGAATGTGACTCAACCATTGTGTCCTATTTAATGAGACCCTAAAGTGAATCAAGATAAAAGATTTGAAAATTTAAACTAAATACCAAGCGAATTCACTTGTGTTCTATTTTAAACATGCGTAAAAGGCAAAAGCTTTATGTGTCTCGAAAACTGCATACTGTAGCATATATTTTAAAAAATAGTATTGATAGGACTATGCTATAAATATTACAGAGACAATTTGTACTATCAGTCTATGGAAATGCATACATACAGTACATATTTTACTTTATGTAAAATCTCTTTAAGCATAGAATATATAACACATAGAGTAAATGTATTTTGGGACGTGCGAGGCAGGTGCTTACGCCACTGAGCTAAATTCCCTGCCTAGTAAATGTATTTTGTCATAATTCAGGTATTTGATTTATGCTTATTGTTAATAGTACAAATGGGACAAAATACATACGCATTTTAAAAATTTAAATGATAACATAAAGCAATACACATTTTTGAGTTTCCCTTCCTCATCTTCCAAACTTCCTGGAGATAAGTCACTATTTTGGTGTTTTGTTACCCAGCAAATAAACTTTCCATTCCTTTTTATGACTCTGTCTGCCTATTTATTTAGTACTCTGGCTCTTTGCCTATTTAACATTAATAGTGTCATGCTGATTGTTATTGACTTGCATTTTTTAAAAAATTAATTGTCTTTGACTATGACTTGTTAGTGTTTTGTATAGTTATTCTTTTTAAATACCACAAGGTATAGATTTTTTTAGTTTGAATTTTACTTTTATTTTTTCCTCAATTTTTCATTATTTGAAACTGCTTAAATATGCTTCATTCCAGAGTCCATCCTCTTCACATTTTTAAATGAGAATAAAATAGGATATAGTCCTACAAGTGAATATTCATTTACAAGAATATTTTAAATTTGTGCCTCAAACTCTCATGGGTCATATAATGGTGATCACAGCCAAAATGTAGATAGAATCAATGAGAGAAATGAAATCTTTCCATTGAAAGGAATAACTATTCTGCTAGGCTAGTCTACTATGCTGCTTTGTGTCTCTTACAAATTTGAAATTATTGTCAGAGCGTGTGAATTCAGTATTTCAAATTGTTTTAGTGACTTAACTATGAATTCATTGCAGACTTTTGAATCAGCTGTACAAGACAATGTGAGCATTAATGGGCAAGCTTGGCAGGAAGCTTCAGATAACTGTCTTAAGGGTATGTGACTTAACCTTTTTCTTCTATCACCAATTCCTGAGTTACTTTTTGTAAGTAATTTTATTTTGAATGCTGTTTTTAATTCACTTATTTTAAAAATTCTTTACTGGGGGAATAAAAAGAAATTAACATTTGGAGCACTATTAAAGTCATGATCTGAGAGAAACACAGTAGGTACCTTGGTATATGTGCAAATCTGGCATTTTAAACAGGATTTGGATTCTCAAAGTTACCTTTGTCAGTAGTTCAGTGGGAAGTACTATAGAACTATCTTTAGATGAAGCACAGGTCCAGAAAATTCTGGTCATTCTTTCTAAGGCAAGTTATAGTTTTGCAAGTTATCCCTCTAGGAATAGTGAGGTGCTTTTAGAAGTGTGAAGTTAGAGTGGACAAGTACTGTGCAAAGGATGAGATCAAATAACTGTCATAGTTGTCCTAAAAAGACAGACTGTTTCTTGGGCTGGAGAAGGGAGAAGCTTGCAGCAGTTGGGCTGTAGGGAGTTTATTCTAATAACACAGCAAAAGATGGTGAAGGCTTGTGCTAAGACATTAGGACAGAAAGAGGTCCTAGAGAAACCTGAAAATAGAATTTGTTGCTGATTCAGTGCCCATTAGCACTAAGATTCACAAGGTAGACGTGTTTTGTCTGTTTTGTTTACTGAGATTTCCAAGTGCTTGGGACCTGACATTGAATAAATGCATGAGCAGATGAACATATAAAAATGAACAAATGTGTGAATTATATAAATAAAACAAATCTCTTCTTTGCCCTGTAACTGCCGTGAAAGGATTTGCCTGAAAGGAAGGTTTTCGGGCAGATTTAAGATTTAAAATTGTTAAGTCCTGTGAAAGAAGGGAGTGTATGTTTTTCTCCATCATTTTTAGCACAGTTTGACATGTAGTAGGAGCTCATTAAATATTCACTAATGGAGTTGATTTTTTGCTCATATTTGTTTAAACATTTCAGTTTTGCAAATTTATCCTTAGGTGGTGATAAGAAACCTTTTCCTCCTTATACAGAAGATTCAGCTGGGAGATTTTTTCAAATGGTTGTAAGCTAGTGATCTAATTTTTCAATGGATATATTAAAATTTAGAGCTGTGTATTTAAATAAGTATTAAAGTAAGAAATGATTACCTCTCTGATAATACCTACAAAAGATGTAATTTAGTTAGATTCAAAGAATGTTTGTTATATGATTGAAAACCATACCTTATATACTTCATTAATCCTTACTTGCTATATATGTATTTGCTAATTATATCAGCAGTTTCTCAAAATATTTCAAAAAAATGCTTCATACTTAAAGCATTACTTAAAGATTTACTTAAAGCATTAAAGCATACTTAAAGATTTCATACTTAAGCTTCTGCTCAATGAAATAGATTTATTTCTAGTGTAGCCTTTGACACAGCAGAACATACATGATGCAAACCAGTTAAGCTGGAGACCCAGTTCTTTAGTGTTTGTAACTACTTCATATTTTTACTCTTTAAAATGATTTTCAAAATAAGATTGAATGGACCATTTGCATTCATTTCATTTGGGGTATTTGATGTCTATGTACTGTCCTAAACCTATTGAATCAAATGTGTGCACTTGTGCACTTTTTTTTCGGTGGTGCAGGAGATCAAACCCAAGGCCTTGTGCATGCAAGACAAGAACTCCTCCACTGAGCCACATCCCCAACCGCTGTGTGCTCTTTAACCTTCTTCCTAGGTGCTTGTCTGTTAAAGTTTGAGAATCATTATTTTTTTTTTTAATGTATTGTCTTTTTGAGACAGTCTCACTATGCAGTTCAGGCTGGCCTTGAGCTCACTTCATAGCCCAGGTTGGTCTCAAACTCACAACCATCTGAGTGCTGGGATTACAGGCATGGGCCACCACGCCCAGCTAAGAATCATAATTTTAATCAGACATCTTGTATCACTGTGGTTACAAATGAATTCTTCATTTTTATCAGTCTATTTAGTAATGAAATTACTAAAACTGCCTGGTGGCGCAGTCGTACCACCAGTGATTTAAGCTTCCTTGCAGTAGGACACGAACTACGGTCCTGACATGGCTGTGTTAAAACAGAGGAAAGCATCTGACTTTAACTCAATGGAAGAAACTCTGAAGTCATCATTCTTTCAGCTTTTCCTGTTGTCTATCCAGCTGAGTCCTAGTTCAGATCTAGCACTTCACTCACTGCTTCTGCTACAGCTTTGGTTTGACACATATTAAAGCTAGAACTTGGTAGTATCCCTGATATTAAATGCCTGTTATGGTCTAGTTCTTATGTACATACTTTTATCCCTCTTTCCTTTAGTTATCTTGTAGCCATGTAAGACTTTCCTGTTTCCCAAAGATTCTTGTGATCTTACATATAACATTTATTCTCCCTATAATTTTTTTCTGAACAGTGTTCCCTCCATGGATTAGCATTTATGTTTGAAGTTCAAACTTAACTTCATTTTTAAAGTTTTAAATTCCCCAGGATTATGTAGTCTGTTGTTATGTCCTGATAACATTTTGCTCCAACCTCTGGTGCATCTTTCGAGGTGTAATTACTGTTTCTTGGGACCGTGTTACCTTCACCTTTATATTTCTTTGTTTTAAAGTTAGCTTTCCATAGGTGCAAAGCAATTGATTGTTCAGTGAGTAATTAATCACCAAAGACAGCTATTAACTTGCTATATTTGTTTTCTTTGTTTCATGTTTTCTAAATTTCATTTATCAACATCACATTTCCTTGCAAATACAACATTTTACCATTTTTTTCCAAAATAGATTCTGACATCAAAGTCCTTGAAGATCAGTTTGATGAGATCATAGTAGATATAGCAACAAAACGTAAGCAGTATCCCAGAAAGATCGTTGAATGCGTTATCAAAACCCTAAAAGCACAACACGAAATTCTGGTAAGATGACTTAATTTTAAATTTTTGTGTATGTTTTATTGTAGTAAAAATGTTAAAGTGTAAGAACCATATGGAGATAGATCATATTTTATGTCTTTCTGCCTCAGTTAGTACTATATTTTGTGAGACTTTCCTGTCCTAAAGTTTTTTTTGTTGTTGTTGTTAGTACTGGGAATCAAACTCAGGACCTTGCACTTGCCAGACATGCTATAAACAAAGTCTTGAACACAGTTAATATTAAAATTGGAGATGGAAGATTGATGGTGAATTTTAAGATTCTCAGACTAGGAAAAGAAAGGAAATTTTATTTATTTATTTATTGCTGCTGGGGATTGAACCCATGCTAGATCCCTAGTCCTAGAAAATGTATCTTTTGAATATTTTCTATTTGTCATTATTTTTGGCACATTATTTATATATGTTTGTATATTTTGGAAGACATAGATGGAGAAAATTGTTTGAGTATTTGTTCATAACACTGAAATTTGCTCTTTGAATTGTGTAATGTGTTTTGCTTTAAAAATCACAGCCATCTCAATCAGAAGGCCAGGAAGTCAGCCCCTCAGCCTGACCATTTTAGGGATGCAGAACTGTAGGCTTGCTTTTTGAGATTACTGTAGATATCAGTGGCCAGCCGTGTGATACCCTAGTCTTTCAGGTTTATTTTGTCTATAGTAAAACTGAAATAAGTCCACAACAATCAAATCGATATCTTGCCTTGCAGGGTATGGAGGTTTGCTGGCAATGATGTTGCCCTGCCATGGGGCAGATATGCTGCTTCTAGATTATTTTAGAATAGTCAACTTTAGTTTTTGAAACTAGCATATTATATATATAAATCTTCCAGGTGCTTCTCCTTCAGGAATTATTTTAAGGAATTAACACCCAAGCTTTATACTTATATCTGAAATATTTTAGTTATTCTATGAAAAAATTTAAGCAGAATGCTTTAATTTCCCCTTCCAATGTAGTTAATCCTCAGAGAAGCACCCTGTTTGAAAGTTTCTTCAGGAAGAATAAAGTATATTTACTCTCCACTGTTTCCTTTTGTTCTCAGAAAAGTCCCTCAAAGCTGCTGCATGCAATAAAACAGGTGGCAGGCCTTTGCTAGTTAAAAGTGAACAGAAGCGCGAGCTAAGGACACTGACTGACGCGGTCTTTTGTTTCTTTGAATTGTGTGGCTCCTGTTGCTTTAGGCAAAGACAAGGAAAGTGTTTTCCCCTTTCTGTTTCCTGAGCTGTGCCCCAGCCCAGTGCATTGCAGGGTGTCCAGGCTCCGTCTGCTGGTGTGCAGCGCAGCCATTGGTTTCCAGTGGGGTCTCTGTGGAAATAGAACTTGGGGTTTCGAACACTTGTCCTAACTGAACTCTGGAGGCATAGTTCATAACTTGGAGACTCCTTTCAACACAGAATTTAGTCTATACTTGTAATTTGCTGCTGCTTTTTTAAAAACAAAGATTTTTTTGCTGTTTCATAGTGTTTGCAGTAGGTGGCAGTACATTAAAAGGAATAATTCAGACAGTCTACCCTAAACTTTTTCTCCCTTCTCTATACTTCAGGACCTTAAAACAACAGTTATTTCCGTAAAAGAATTATACTGTGGTAGTGGCTGTTTATATTTGATTACATTAGGTGAAATACATTGAGGCATTAAGTGATTAACTCTGTTTTGATCTGTACTGAGTTTAGAAGCAGTACCGCCCTGTTGTACAGCCAATGGACTTGAAATGTGACCCCGATCCAGGTGAGTTGTTGTTTATTTATGATAAAAATGAACAATCAGTTTGATATTCATGAGTTCTTATTCTTCTGAAGTTTCCAGCATCATCCTGCTTTTTGCTGCTTTAACTCATTCCCAGTCATCCATATTAGGTCTTCATTTAGAATTATGAGAACTTGCATCAAACCTGCTGACTCAGAATCTCCAGGCGTGAGACCTGGAATCTGAACTCTATCAGGAAGAGGCTGATATAATATTATCCTTCTCTGTCTGTTCGGATACTGTTCATTCTTTGCCTTACAGCTGAAGTTATCTACTAAAATATTCTCTCATAATCTCCTTTCAGTAACCTTTGTTGGTTTTGCCTTGTTTATAGTCTAATAAAAACCATATTGAATTTAGGAGGTAAGCTGTTGTGGTTCGTGTCTAGAGGTCCTCCCAAAGCATCACGCTGTCTTTGACTTTTTCAGAGGTGCTTGACTCTAGAGTATGTGTTCCTGGGATTAAGGATGTATGGTTAGTAAATCAACCCACTGATTGGTTTGGTATAGTTCTGGCTGGGATTGAAGATGTAAGTGCTACCCACCCCAGGGTAGCCTGCATACAGTATGAGGAACAGAAAGAGTCTTGTTTTAACCTGTTGTTGCTTTGTCTACCTTTGGAGCGCTGGAATGTTTCTCTGTGAGGCCTGTCTGCCATGCCTCACTGCCTTGGAGCCAGCTGATTATGGGCTGAATCCTCTATAAATTAAGCCAATTAAACCTTTTCCCCTTTAACTTCAGGTGTGGGATATTTTGTATCAGCAGCAAGAAAATTAACTAAAACATGCATATATACAATATGACCTTGAAACCAATTCTGTAGCCATTTAGGTACATTATTAAAACAAAGAAGTGTTGATCTATAGGAAAGGGAAGGAAAAAATTGATAACATATCTAAAGCTATTAACACACCTGGAGTTGCTGAGGAAAAAAAAGGTCACATTTATTTTTAAATGGCTGTATTCTCCCATTCAATACTTTTTTTTTTTTTTGGTCTTTTTCCTTTTTATCGGTACCCGGGATCGAACTCACGACTGCCTGCTTGCAAGGCAGGCGCTTATGCCGCTGAGCTAAATCCCCAGCCCCGAATACTTTTAACATTTTTCTTAAGAGACCTTTTGAAATTTGTCTTTGACACTAAAAATGCCATTTCTAAAATATTGAATAAAAATTAAAATAAGTTAATCTTATAAAAATCATATTTGTCCATCATATTTATATTTGTAGCTTTGAATACCTTGTTGTTGGATTCTGAACTACTATTTTTTTAATGGTACTGAGTATTGAATACAGGACCTTGTACATGCTAGGCAGGTGCTCTACCCCAGAGCTGTGTCTCCCTACCTTTTTAAAAATTTTATTTTAAGATGGTATCTCACTATGTGACCCAGGCTTGTCTCAAATTTACAATCCGCCTGACTCAGCCTATGGCTTAGGTGGGATTCAAAGCATGTCCCTCCATCCTCAGCTTACTGAACTATTTTTTAATATAACAGCATGACCTAAGCCAGAGGGATCAACTGAGAAGGGTAAGTACAAGCATCAAAGCTGAGGGTGGTTAAAGCATAGCAGTCTATCTGACTGAAAACTGTCTATGGCCCTCCTGCTTAATCAGTTATCAAGATTCACTAAAAATGTAAAGTTTCCAAAATGCGGTAGTTGACATATATTTATTTTGGTTTTGACCAGCATAAAAATAGTGCTTGAAACTTATGCCATCATAACATACTTTTTAGAGTTTATTTTTTCTAAACTTGATAACTTTATCTTAGTAGGGAAAAAAAATTTACTTGAATGATTCTTTGAATGTATGGGTGGTTTTACTCTCACTGTTGTAGTTATATAGCATTAGTAGAAAAATCTGTATCATACGGTTGTGATTTCAGAAATTGGCAAAGGAGCTGGATGTGGTGGGATATACCTATAATCCCAGCATTTGGGAGGGTGAAGCAGGAGAATCATTGCAAGTTTAAGAAGTTTGAGACCAGCCTGGGCTATGATGTAAACTCGAGGCCAGCCTGAACTGTATAGTGAGACTCTGTCTCAAAAAGTCCAAACAAAAAGCAAAAAATAATTAGTACATATCTTTTGGATACATTTGAGATTTTGTCATTTTCATAATCTTTACAAGTTTAATCAACAAACTGATATTTTGTTGACAGCAAAATTAACTTCTAATTATTGACTTCATATCCATGACCAAACTACTTTACTTCATTAAGTTCAATCTCTTTACTAATGAAATGGTAAGTCATTTATTTAAATCTAAGGGGCTGGGGATTTAGCTCAGCGGCATAAATGCCTGCCTTGCAAGCAGGCAGTCGTGAGTTCGATCCCCGGTACTGATAAAAACGAAAAAGACAAAAAAAAAAAAAAAAAAAAACAAAAAACTGATGCTTTAGGTATAAATTCCAATTCTGTTCCTAAATATTACAGAATTTCCCACCTGTGTGTTGAGGTTGTTTTGTAGATCAAGTAAGGAGTTTTACCAACAATAGCTAAAGAAATATATAAGTACTAGTTTATGGGCTATACTATATAATATTATATATTATAAATTGCTTTATAATACTTTACAGTATTGCATATTTTATATCTAACTAGTAAAATTATATAAAACAAAATTAGATAAAAGTGGTATTCTAAATTTTATTGTTTTTGTGATTTTACTCAATCTAAGCTTGATTGAAATTTTAAAATAATTAGAAATTTAAGCTGGGCCTTTAATCCTAGTACTTGGAAGGCTGAGGGAGGAGGATTGCCATGAGTTCAAGGCCAGTTTGGGCTCCTACCCTGAACTACACAGCAACACCGTATCTCAAAACAACAACGATAAATAAATAAATAGAAGTGAAACTGGGCAGGATATAGTGTACACCAATAATCCTAGCACTCTGGGAGGCTGAGGCGGAAGGAGACCCGTAAGTGTTAAGTCCATTGGAAACAGTTTAGCAAGACTTTCAAAAAAATACTGTTTTTAAAGGGTTGGGGCTATCTCTCAGTGTGAAAGCTCCGACTTCAAAGTACCAAAAAAAAAAGATACTACACCATAGCCTCTCTTCCCGAGTCTGCCTGAGCCACAGATCTTCAAAGTAGGCAAAGCTGCTAGGAGTTTGACATGTCTAATTTTATATCTTTATCAGTGTGTTTTATACACAGGCAGAGGCAGAAGTTTGTGCATTATTTATTGAGACAGGACCTCGCCATGTAGTTCAGGCTGGCCTTGAACTCACAGCAGTCCTCCGGGCTCAGCCTCCCAAGTGTTGGGATTACAGCTGTGTTCCAACTCGCCTGACTTGAACATTTGTTATTTACATAAATATTATACAGTACATGTTATTCTCACTTTTTTTCCATTCAGTGACATTGTTCAATTTCATGGTTTTATTGATAATTTCTTCATACTTAACTGTGTATTTGCATGCAGTTATTTAAATGAGATTACACACATACAATTTCCAGATTTTGCTGAGAATTATTTTTGTTCCTTGCTTCCTCCCTACCATCACCATACTAACTTTCAATCTGTGGGCTCCCATCTACTAGAAAATCACTACCCTGGTCCTTCAGTTTCTCTTCTTTATCAGGCTTCTTTTATTTTTGTTATTCTTTTTTTTGTTTTTATCGGTACCAGGGATTGAACTTACGACTGCACACTTGCAAGGCAGGCGCTTATGCCACTGAGCTAAATCCCCAGCCCCTATTTATTCTTGTTTTTATTTCATGGTGTATGTTTCTCTTACAATGTGTGTTATTTTAGCTGTTGGAGTAATTTTCAGACTGCTCTATTTCGATTTCATCTGCAGCAAATTTCTCTCCTTGGCGTTAAGTTATATTGGCTGTCTGTCAGAGTTTTCCTGTCCTCATGTATTTTAGAGTTTGGAGTTGCAAGCTCTCACTGACTAGAATTTGGCCTGTGCTTATTTTCCTGTTTCACCCGTGTGTGTTGGCATCCGTCCCCTGCACCCCATCCCGCCCGGTTGCTTTCCCTGCCCTGAGTCATGGTAGGTAAGAGCTGTATGTCGAGTTGGCAGCAGAGGGTGCGCCCCCATGCCGGGTGCATACTGGGGCGAGTGGGCCTCACACATCGAGGTCCGGGCCAGGCCCGGAAGGGTTAGCTGCCCCCAGCCTTTCTGCTGAACCTAAAGTACGCCGCTCGCGCTAGTCCCCGACAGCCGCAGATGGCAGCTTTCTCGCCTGCTTTCCAGGGCGGGGAAACTCAGGTCAGCCCTCTGTTCAAAAGGTAAAGCTGGCACTTCGCGTTCTCCTGCTCTAGAGCACATTGAACCCCACTGACTTTTTCAGAAGGCAGGCACTTGGCTATTTCTGCAAGGTGACGATCTGTAGCTGTGCCTGGGGTTACAGCCTTTTTTTATGTTTTGGGTTTTTGTTTTGTTTAGAAATGTCTACCTTGTTTATGCTTTGGTACATGTCTATTTTAAAAAGGGTTTCCATATTTGGTAATGTTGTTTTGAAAAAAGGCAGGGAGTTTTGTGAATTTCCAAAGCCAGCCAAACTAATAATCATCTAGATTGCTTTTTAAAAAAGCATAATTTTTTACTCCTTGCTTAAAATCCTAAGCTCTTCCAGTTCAAATACGAGTATGTCCACCAAGCTTTAAACTTGCCAGCATCGCCTCACACGGACCAGGTATGTTTCAAGCAGCTGCCTTTTTGCCTGAGTCCCACTGCCCATCTTTTGGTTGTTGGAAAATGCCTCCCTTACATGCCCCTTTCTAGACTAATGTTTTAAAGTTTTCTTTCTCATTTAAATACCATCATCTCAGAGTTTTTCATTGACTACCCTAATTAGAAACACACCCATGCAATCCAGCACTAGGAAGGCTGAGGCAGGAGCATTGCTGAGATTTCAAAGCCTGCCTGGGCTACATGGCGAGGCCCTGCTCAAAAACAAAACAAAACAAAACAAGGTAAAGAAGAAATAGACTGCCCCTGGCTCTTTATCATAAAATCTATTTTCTT